GTTGCGCTCACGTGTAACTCTCTTATTCAGTTCTCTGTAGTCCACGCATAGTCGCAATGCTCCATTCGGTTTGCGGACTGGAACAAGTGGTGACACCCACGGCGTGGCTTCCTTGACGGGTTCAATGATATCCAACTTGGTCAGCCGTTTCAGCTCGGTCTCGATGTCAGCCCGGATACTGAAAGCTGGGCGTCGTGGTGGCTGGGCTAGAGGCTTTGAACCGTCTTCCAGAGAGATTTCGATGGGTGACACGTTCACCACGTTTGCTTGTGACAGGAGGTTCAGCTCCTTGATGACATCCTGTCCGAAGAGAACGGAGTGCTGACTGGCTGCTACCACGAAACAACTGCACTTCACGTTCTTGCCACCATGTGAAATGTGGACGTCAGCCATGCCCAAAGTCTCTACGACACCGCCATTGTACGCTTTCAGCAAGCGGTCACTCTTGCGCGTGGGCTTGATCACATCATCAGTGAGGATCGTCCGAGTTGCACCTGTGTCTAACAGTCCAGTGCACAGCTCACCATTGACTTTGAGTGTAGTCTGGAATGTCTTGGCGCCTGCGAGTGCCGAGCTACTGACGGCGAAAGCGGAGTCGTACATGCGACTTGCATGCTCATACTCATCAGGCTCATCCTCTACTGGCCGGGCTCTTTCTTCGTGTCTTTCCACTTTGTTTGACATGCAGACCGCTGCAAAATGCCCTCGCTTGCCACACTTGTTGCAGGTGACGTTGGCCGCAGGACAGTTACGCATGCCTGGTTTGTGACTACGTCCGCAGTATTTGCACTTCTTTCCCTCTGATCCAGAACCAGCTGCAGAGACAGCTTGCACACGCTGGATGGGCACGGGGAACACAGGCGGTGCGTCACTAGCTCTGGTACTATCGTACAGTTTACTGTCAGTAATCGACGCTTCCAACGCCACTGACTTGGTGACGGCGTCGTTCAGGGTCAGCTTCGACTGTTTCAGCAGCTCCTTTCGAAGCTCAACAGAACGCAGGCCCACGATCAGCTGGTCTCGAATTTGGCAGTTGACAATGGTATCCACAGAAGTGGAGCTGAATTCGCAAACATCTGCCTTTTCTCTCAGCCGCCCAACGAACGAAGTCACCGACTCGCCCTCCATTTGGCGGAGTTGGCGGAATTTGTGACGTTCAGACGTGACATTTGTTGACGGTCGAAAGTGTGCCAACAATGCGTCCGTCAAGGCTTGGTACTCATCTCCAGGTGAGCCATCTTGTGTCTGCTCCACCGTGACAACCAGACCTTTCACAATGCGCCTCACTGCTAATCCAGCCAGATTCAAGAACAAGCGTTTCTTGTCAGCTGCTGCCGTCACTTCACTGATTGAAAGGAAATCATTTATGTCCTCGAGCCAGAGTTCAAAATCAGCACCGACGTTGCTCGCAGCATAGTCAGGAATAAATTCCTTGGGCGTCCTGCCCTTAGTCATTTTCGTTCACTGCGCCAATGTAGACATCTATTCAGTCACTCACAAGACAGCCATTGTGCTAAACAGATCTTCTTTAGTTCTCTATCAGAAGTGCGCCATGTCATCTCTCTCGTGCTATACATAAAGCGGTACAAGCACGTGCATGCCTGCACGTGCGTACATAGTACTACATACAACTGCATGTACGATATCTACACTGCTGTTGCAGAACACAGAGTACAGCGGAACCAGTGATTGGTCAGTGCTGCTGATGCAGAACACAGAGTACAGCGGAACCAGTGATTGGTCAGTGCTGCTGATGCAGAACACAGAGTACAGCGGAACCAGTGATTGGTCAGTGCTGCTGATGCAGAACACAGAGTACAGCGGAACCAGTGATTGGTCAGTGCTGCTGATGCAGAACACAGAGTACAGCGGAACCAGTGATTGGTCAGTGCTGCTGATGCAGAACACAGAGTACAGCGGAACCAGTGATTGGTCAGTGCTGCTGATGCAGAACGCAGAGTACAGCGGAACCAGTGATTGGTCAGTGCTGCTGATACAGAACGCAGAGTACAGCGGAACCAGTGATTGGTCAGTGCTGCTGATGCAGAACACAGAGTACAGCGGAACCAGTGATTGGTCAGTGCTGCTGAGGCAGAACACAGAGTACAGCGGAACCAGTGATTGGTCAGTGCTGCTGATGCAGAACACAGAGTACAGCGGAACCAGTGATTGGTCAGTGCTGCTGGTGCAGAACGCAGAGTACAGCGGAACCAGTGATTGGTCAGTGCTGCTGATGCAGAACACAGAGTACAGCGGAACCAGTGATTGGTCAGTGCTGCTGATGCAGAACACAGAGTACAGCGGAACCAGTGATTGGTCAGTGCTGCTGATGCAGAACACAGAGTACAGCGGAACCAGTGATTGGTTAGTGCTGCTGGTGCAGAACGCAGAGTACAGCGGAACCAGTGATTGGTCAGTGCTGCTGATGCAGAACGCAGAGTACAGCGGAACCAGTGATTGGTCAGTGCTGCTGATGCAGAACACAGAGTACAGCGGAACCAGTGATTGGTCAGTGCTGCTGATGCAGAACGCAGAGTACAGCGGAACCAGTGATTGGTCAGTGCTGCTGATGCAGAACACAGAGTACAGCGGAACCAGTGATTGGTCAGTGCTGCTGATGCAGAACACAGAGTACAGCGGAACCAGTGATTGGTCAGTGCTGCTGATGCAGAACCCAGAGTACAGCGGAACCAGTGATTGGTCAGTGCTGCTGATGCAGAACGCAGAGTACAGCGGAACCAGTGATTGGTCAGTGCTGCTGATGCAGAACGCATAGTACAGCGGAACCAGTGATTGGTCAGTGCTGCTGATGCAGAACACAGAGTACAGCGGAACCAGTGATTGGTCAGTGCTGCTGATGCAGAACGCAGAGTACAGCGGAACCAGTGATTGGTCAGTGCTGCTGAGGCAGAACACAGAGTACAGCGGAACCAGTGATTGGTCAGTGCTGCTGATGCAGAACACAGAGTACAGCGGAACCAGTGATTGGTCAGTGCTGCTGATGCAGAACACAGAGTACAGCGGAACCAGTGATTGGTCAGTGCTGCTGAAGCGGGACGCAGAGTACAGTGGAACCAGTGATTGGTCAGTGCTGCTGATACAGAACGCAGAGTACAGCGGAACCAGTGATTGGTCAGTGCTGCTGATGCAGAACACAGAGTACAGCGGAACCAGTGATTGGTCAGTGCTGCTGAGGCAGAACACAGAGTACAGCGGAACCAGTGATTGGTCAGTGCTGCTGATGCAGAACACAGAGTACAGCGGAACCAGTGATTGGTCAGTGCTGCTGGTGCAGAACGCAGAGTACAGCGGAACCAGTGATTGGTCAGTGCTGCTGATGCAGAACACAGAGTACAGCGGAACCAGTGATTGGTCAGTGCTGCTGATGCAGAACACAGAGTACAGCGGAACCAGTGATTGGTCAGTGCTGCTGTTGCAGAACACAGAGTACAGCGGAACCAGTGATTGGTCAGTGCTGCTGGTGCAGAACGCAGAGTACAGCGGAACCAGTGATTGGTCAGTGCTGCTGATGCAGAACACAGAGTACAGCGGAACCAGTGATTGGTCAGTGCTGCTGATGCAGAACGCAGAGTACAGCGGAACCAGTGATTGGTCAGTGCTGCTGATGCAGAACACAGAGTACAGCGGAACCAGTGATTGGTCAGTGCTGCTGATGCAGAACGCAGAGTACAGCGGAACCAGTGATTGGTCAGTGCTGCTGATGCAGAACACAGAGTACAGCGGAACCAGTGATTGGTCAGTGCTGCTGATGCAGAACACAGAGTACAGCGGAACCAGTGATTGGTCAGTGCTGCTGATGCAGAACACAGAGTACAGCGGAACCAGTGATTGGTCAGTGCTGCTGTTGCAGAACACAGAGTACAGCGGAACCAGTGATTGGTCAGTGCTGCTGATGCAGAACACAGAGTACAGCGGAACCAGTGATTGGTCAGTGCTGCTGATGCAGAACACAGAGTACAGCGGAACCAGTGATTGGTCAGTGCTGCTGGTGCAGAACACAGAGTACAGCGGAACCAGTGATTGGTCAGTGCTGCTGATGCAGAACACAGAGTACAGCGGAACCAGTGATTGGTCAGTGCTGCTGATACAGAACACAGAGTACAGCGGAACCAGTGATTGGTCAGTGCTGCTGATGCAGAACGCAGAGTACAGCGGAACCAGTGATTGGTCAGTGCTGCTGATGCAGAACCCAGAGTACAGCGGAACCAGTGATTGGTCAGTGCTGCTGATGCAGAACACAGAGTACAGCGGAACCAGTGATTGGTCAGTGTTGCTGATGCAGAACACAGAGTACAGCGGAACCAGTGATTGGTCAGTGCTGGACTGCATAGTGTACAGCTGCTGCTACTGCCGTCGCCGTTGTCACCATTCTACCCATGACCATCAGTAGGCACTGGTACTGATGTCTTTTGCAAATGTGCGTACCACAAATATATAGCCAGCCGCTAAGTAATAATCTACTGCTTTGCCAATGCACGGAATACATACCGTCTTTGCCGGAGTATGACGCGCACCTGAGTATAAAAGGCGCACCCCCTCTTTTGAGCAAGGTTTTGGCAACTCATGGTATATGCGGATATCCTGAGTATAATGCGCCGCCGCCTAGATTTGAGATTTGAGAACATTATCGATGGTAAAGGCAGTACTATAGTGCGACCTTTGTCAGAATTTATCCTAAAAAAATGAGCATGCGTATGGCTTGCGCAGGGTCATAGGTCAGAGGTGGCACACTTCACCGCAGTTTTACTAATTGTACTACTTCTCGAAGTACAGTACATGCATTTTCATATTTGCATAGTGTGCGCCTGCGATTTGTGGCCAGAACGAATAGGGCCTCTAAAGTGCGCACTATACTCCGGCAAATACGGTAGTGTGACTTCTTGTGCAGCTAGTACATGTGTGGTAGAATTTGAGTGCGTTGATACAGCGGCTGTAGTGCAGCATATTGGTGTTGATTATGATCTCTATCCGTCAGTTCTCTACACTGTATCTCTACCCCAGTACATAGGCTGAAGACTACCCTGCAGTGTTGTATCTCTACCCCAGTACATAGGCTGAGGACTACCCTGCATTGCTGTATCTCTACCCCAGTACATAGGCTGAAGACTACCCTGCAGTGCTGTATCTCTACCCCAGTACATAGGCTGAAGACCACCCTGCAGTGCTGTATCTCTACCCCAGTACATAGGCTGAAGACTACCCTGAAGTGCTGTATCTCTACCCCAGTACATAGGCTGAAGACTACCCGGCAGTGCTGTATCTCTACCCCAGTACATAGGCTGAGGACTACCCTGCAGTGCTGTATCTCTACCCCAGTACATAGGCTGAGGACTACCCTGCAGTGCTGTATCTCTACCCCAGTACATAGGCTGAAGACTACCCTGCAGTGCTGTATCTCTACCCCAGTACATAGGCTGAAGACTACCCTGCAGTGCTGTATCTCTACCCCAGTACATAGGCTGAAGACTACCCTGCAGTGCTGTATCTCTACCCCAGTACATAGGCTGAGGACTACCCTGCAGTGCTGTATCTCTACCCCAGTACATAGGCTGAGGACTAACCTGCAGTCATTATAATCTGTGCACTGTACTGCCTGCATCCGCGCCGCTCTGCTTTATTTAGCATGATCATATTCAGATGAGATGCTATACTACTCCGTCTGCAGAATCTGAACGGTATGACCTTGTACATATTACTGGTCTGAGTTCTACTTTAGACCAGTGACGGGTTTATTCGCTGAGTCTCTAAAATGCTACTACTGGCACTACTGGTACTATGTACTTCAAGTATTGCATTGCATACTGCATACTTGTACTCTTGTACTCTGGTCTCCTCGCACTCTGCTGTGTATTTACATCTACTACAGCCATGCTGATTTTGAGTACAAGCGAGTACAACCACAAGCATGTGCTTGTACACTGAACAGGTCCTGAGTTCTATCTGCAGAACTATGTGTGTATGCAAACTGTTTATTTTTTTTCCTCTTCGATTGAAACTGTTTATGCTTGTGCATGTACATTTCTTGCAGTGCTTCATTATCAAACGACTGTAAAGTGTATACTGCAGATGCCATGGTCATCAGTTGTATTGCATATCATCAGCCATGTACATGTACATGGACATGTGTTATAGAGCTGCACTGTGTTCACACTATTCATGGCCGAGTCTGTCTCAGCTGTCCAATATCAAGACGAAAAATGGGAAAATCTTCCGATTTCAGATGTAAAAAACGATAAAAACACAGTTTTTCGAAGAAAATACACAGTTGCCATGGCAACCAGGCAGAAAAGCCACCGTTGCCATGGTAACCATGCTCTATTTCAGCCCATTTTCCAGGCTTACAGTGGTTGCCATGGCAACCAGGATTTCGTTGCGAATTAGGTTTGTTTCCATGGTAACCCATACAATTTCTCTGATAAACCTGGCTGTTTTTGCCTAAAACGATCCGATTTCGGAAAGCCCTGGAATTTTTTACCTGCGTAATTTTTTTATGCAGAATGACCCAACCACATGCACAGTGCACAGTATTGATTTTAGTTTTATAAAGTGAAGTTTAATTGTCATGGCAAGAGTGTGGAAGGAAGAGAGGAGAGGACAAGCAAGATAAAAGTAATGAGAAGCAAGAAATAAAAAGGATAAAAAAAAGATGAACCCGTACATCATTACAGGGGGAAAACAGTGATTTGTGGAAATCCGGCATGTTAAAGATACAAAAACGGAAGGACTCAATTGAAGTTGAAAAAAAAACACAAAAAAAAACAGAAAAGTAAACTGATCGTCTCTAAGAAAATACACGTAGAAAACAAGAACTTGAAATGAACATGGAAGACTGAAATGTTGACAAGTCCACATGTAAATAGTTATCAGGATGCAAGAATTGTAAAGGAGCAAGATCACAAAAATCAGTGTTGATCTCGATACAGTAGAACTTACTTAAACTGCTTTACTATGCAGTACATTGTGAATACATGCGCAAAACCATTCTGTTTGTTAGAACCGCAACAGAACCAGGGACATTCTAGACCATAGCAAAGTATGTAAAAATCTTATGCTCTGAAAACGGACTGTTCCGTGTACTTGCACAATGTGCCAATGGGGAATAGCAATACACGTACGAGTATACAGGATCATAAAGCCACGGCATGATATCACAAAACAACGGTGGGTTATCGGAGAGTCAAAATGGTTCATTTACGCTGCAAGTACTACTTCTACTATAAGTATAATTCCATAGTACCATTATTATTATTATGAGTCCACAAAGGACGAAACAGTTCTGTCCGCAGATTGAGTGAGTATTATTATTATCATTTTTATTATTTTCACTAGTTTGAGGGTTTGAGTTTTTTTTGTAAATGTAGACAGACAACGCAACACACCATGTTGACTGACAGGCACTAGCAGTAATTCCTATAACTTTGTGTCTTTATTCAGAGTCAAATTTCGGTTGAACCATGCTGGAGAGACAGGCCAAACGGCCAACATTTTCTTTTCACTGGAATTCACTGCTAGCTAAATTGAAACAAATGAATTGAGTGTGTACTCTACTGTTGAGGGTGGTCTCAATAGTCAACTTTCCAATTCAATGCCATGACAAACTGGTCCAGTACAGTGTAGCAACGTCGGTAAGTTCACCTTGGTGTGAGCGGGATGCTTGCACCTGATTCACTAAGCTGACTACATGTAACTTGATATGCATATCAATATTCTTTAAAGCTGGCCCCGCTTATCCCGTGAGGCATGGATGTACACTCCGGCAGACAAGGAAAAGTGTCTTTATTTCCAGGATGTCACTATTCAACCCAGGCCTTGGACTAGAAACAAGGAGCTGTGGGCAAACATTTCCTTCATTATTGATGATCTGTCTTTGTTGCATATAATGGCTGCATTGTCATGTACATGGCTATTGACATACTATAGCACAGGCACACTCGCCTTGTTTTCTGATGGCCAAGTCTGATGGCCAGGTCTGATGGCCAGGTCTGATGGCAATAGCAGTTACATACATGGCACTACATTCTTGGTTAACTTTCATGTCTTGGTTGACTAGTGTGTCTTGCATGCCAGTACAATGTGTTATAACAACATGATGTATTTCTCCTCATCTGGCCTGGCTGACAAAGTGAATTCTTTCTGGTGTCTCAGAGTTGGTTTGTACCGACTTGAGTAAAACAGGGGTATGCGTGCACTGAAGAATGTGGGATCAACCATTCTCATAATGTTGTAGCAATCTTGACAACAGGCATAGGTAATGCTTGTGAGATGCTTTACCATCATCAATCATTGATTGTGTGTATACTTCACAGTGTGTGTTCGTGATCTGATAAGCAAAGGAAATGCAGGCATGAAGACTTTATAAGACTTGCCAACCTGATCGCCATAGTTCAATGCGCATGTTCCCAGGCTGTAGTGTGGTCTCTCCGCTCTAGTGTGGTCTCTCCGCTCTAGTGTGGTCTCTCCGCTCTAGTGTGGTCTCTCCGCTCTAGTGTGGTCTCTCTGCCCTAGTGTGGTCTCTCCGCTCTAGTGTGGTCTATCTGCACTGGTGGGCCTATTTGTTTACTGAACATGGAGAATTTACTTAGTAATGTCCCTGCAGCAGTAGCATTTTCTACCTTTTCCCTACCATTAGCACACTTTCCCCATCCTGAGCAGCACACTTTCCCTATGGTACTTGCAGCGTAAATGGAGCACCTCCTACAGTGGTTATTAAGTGATAAACCAAAGAAAATAATATAAGACATTTTCAAATATAGCATAGCTCTAGCATTACTACAATGATGTCTCACTTCCAGACCACCTTGTAGAAGTGTGTACAGCCTCTGCCATAGTGTAGCTCAGCCGACAATAACTCAGAGAGTACTCCTCCCGTCGAAGACAGTATCTTGCAAAGTATATGTTTCCATCTATGGCGTACTCCCATACAAGAAGTGTCAGAGTACAATTAGCTTGCTATCAACCTAAGACAATGGATGCACAAACACACGCACACCCACATGCACACCCACGCACAAACATGTACGTAAAACACACATGCACACACTTTTAAAATTAATACACACACGTACAAACACACACACATGTCCACAGACACACACAAACACCCACCCACGCGCACACACAGACACACGCACGCACTGTCGTACACACACACACCTTTTGACGCCCATCGCCGGAGGCGATGATAGCAATGCTACGGCAAAAGCCATAGCAACTTGTGCTGGGATAGCACCATTCAACAGCTTGCAAGGCTGAAGAATTGACCGTCACTATACAGCCTGGTCTACACCATACAGCTATTTGAAGTGACATTTTCTGGCCAGTGAATCCCTATTTTTGGTCTTTTTTTCTCCACACACACACACACCTCAGACCTCAGACATGCACACACACACACACACACACACACACACACACACACACACACACACACACACACACACACACACACACACACACACATACACACACACACACACACACACACACACACACACCTGTGCATGTACGCATGCGCAAGAAAAAAACCCGGTATCTTAGACCCCGGTGCGGCTAACAAACAGGAAAACACAGTATACATTCATGTCTAGTTTATCCAGGCGGCCTGGGACAGGGCACTGACCTTAAAGGGGAAGTTAAGGCAAAAATTAAAATTTCACCAGCTGTAGTCTTCGGGGTGCTGGGTCGAATGGTCTTGGTCCGAGGAAGCTGAGACGCTCCCTTCCTACTTGAATCCCAATCGAACTCGCGCACTTCCACCGAAACTGGGTGACTGCGCCCTACTAGATGGGGATTTGTATGCAAAATGTCACTAAAAGCGCCATTTCGTTCTTATAAAAGCACGGATGACCGCGATTGGCCCATATGTTGTAGTCTTTTGGATGCTGAGTCGACTGGTTTTGGTCCGAAAAGGCTGCGATGTAGCGTTCCTCCTTTATTCCCAATCGAACATGGTTGAACAAGCGGTCACATGCTCCTGCGTACACCAGTCACCTGGTCACCGTGCCTGCAGGGTACAACTTACTAGCCTGTTTGACCTTTTTTGGGTGCACTCCTGTCACTCGAGTTGAACTCGAGTTGAACCTTGGTGTGAAATTTGTCGCGTGCTGGCGTGGTGACCATGTGATTTGGGCACCCAGGAGCACGTGACCGCTTGTTCAACCATGTTCGATTGGGAATAAAGGAGGAACGCTGCATCGCAGCCTTTTTGGACCTAAACCAGTCGACTCAGCGTCCAAAAGACTACAACATATGGGCCAATCGCGGTCATCCGTGCTTTTATAAGAACGAAATGGCGCTTTTAGTGACATTTTGCATACAAATCCCCATCTAGTAGGGCGCAGTCACCCAGTTTCGGTGGAAGTGCGCGAGTTCGATTGGGATTCAAGTAGGAAGGGAGCGTCTTAGCTCTCTCGGACCAAGACCATTCGACTCAGCACCCCGAAGACTACAACTGGTGAAATTTTAATTTTTGCCTTAACTTCCCCTTTAACTTTGAAATTGAAATGTCCATAAATCCGAATCACATACACTCTGATAGGGAAAGGCCATAGATATTGCATGTGACGTCACTATTTCCACCGTAAAGTACCGTTGATCCGCCCCCTCTCTAGTTGCCACCCCCTGTCGATTTTCTGCCTGTGAAGCGACTTCGGCGTATACAATGAAATACGATGTTGAACCGACGCATGCACTGCTGTGCACAATACGTGCCAGTGCAGGATGAAAATGTGCACAATTCAGGACATCGATTCTGAACTTCCATGTTGTTGTACATCGTACTGCACTTGACAGCCTTGATCTAATTCCCGCCCCCTCATTGTGGATGGCACATGCGAAACTTCCAGCAACTTAACACTCGTGTGCAATTGCAACAGCGATACAACCTGAAATTCAATTCTGTCATCGCTGTCAGTCTGCTATTTTTTCCATGCACTCACCATCTCGTAAATTTGAATGCCCCGTTCACTGTTTCCTGTAAAAGGACAAAAACATCAACTATAAGAAGTCATGTCGCATCTTCTCTATTGGCAGCAAAAAAAGCAAGACATAAATGGAACATTTTAAATAGCGAGGAGGAAAGTGTGTAGAGGATAGCAACAACTTACTCCATCACAACTGTTAGGCTACATCTCACTGAATGGCAACCACCTACCCAGCCAATTCAAAAAACTAGTTCAGCATCATACTATGTTTCCACATCTTCCCGTATCCTTTTCTGAACATCAGCAGAGTTCTAGCCAAAAGGGGGTACGGTGGCGGAGCACCCCGTACTCTGATTGAGTGCCCTCCTGTAAACAAAGTGGTGCCCCCCCCCCTTCTCACTTGTTGATTTTTGTGTTTTTCCGGGCTATTCAGCGAAAATACAGTCGACAGTCACTAACAGAGGATTCACAAAGGCACCCACCCCTGTCTGGGGTGAAGTTGGGGTATGTTGCATTTTGGGTGGCAAGAGAATTTTGGAAAGGGAAAATGGGTAACTGTTTCCCCTGCCCCCCCCCTTCCTTCTGCTATTTTCACCTGGCTAGAGTCCTGACTAGTTGTTGGAGATGAAGTTTCGAGGAGCAATCGTCCCGATGCGAGCACAGTCAACTAGGTTTGGCTAGATATATTTTGTAGATGCACCAACGCGCAAAGTAGCATATAAATATTTGAAAGAAAGCAATTGCTACGGTGCAGCAGCAGACACAAGGAAAATATACTGTTGAAGATCCGTTAATCCACCACGGAGACATCAATCTCAGGACTCGGACAAGGAGGCGTCGCACTCAAATCACAAATCCATTCCATGCACAAGTACTGTACGATGTTTGATGCAGGGCTGCACACCGGTTTATCCACAAAATCTAATTTTTCAGTTGTGGCTGCTTGGCCTGATATGAAGCTGCATAAAGTGTCAAACAAATTCTAATTTAAAGAGTCGGCGTGGAGAAAGCAATTTTATTAGTGCAATTAGGAGTATAATCGATGCAGACATGGCCAGACAACAACGAGTTCATGGAATTTTTAAGGATTTTTATGTTATTCAAAATCGATTTTCGTGTTCCGCTCATCAGTGAATAGTATCGGAACTGAGGGTACTGTGTACAACAATAGAACATTTTATAACAGCATAATTAATTAAAAGTGTGAACAACAAAGGAAGTGCTACAGCATTACATAATAGGTGTCAAACATAGTGCTAACGTATATAACTGAGTGCAGCCACAAAGCATGAGGTGATACAGTGCAACATGACACAACATTTACATCTGATAACCAGCTACGAGAACAACTTTAGCGCGACTACATGCTTCTTTTGTTTACAAAGAACAGGATTATGCACACGAATACATACAGCTTCCAGAACCTTCAACTGCTTAACATAACTTGCACGGCACAAAACAGAAAAGTGAGAATCATCGTACACACCAAGACAATCTGGACGTGATAACAAGTGACAAAATACAGCTGACTTTTTGCTCACGTCGCTCTCTTCCGTCTCATCCCGCTCCTTTCCTTCGACCTCCTCCGCCTTATCCTCGTCCTCCGTCTCATCTTCATCATCATCGTCCTCATCACCATCATCATCATCATCAGTCACTTCCTCATCATCCGTTTGATGCTCAGTCTCACTGCACTCCTTATCAGCCTCCAACATGGCTCCATCATCTCCACCAGCATCACAAGTCGTTTGACCGCTGCTCCGCGTCACCGTTGCTGGGTTCTCTGCTACTGCACACCCATTTCCACTGTCCATTTTGCGTGGGCCAAGTCCATTCCGTGCATAAATTTCAAGTGAATAGTTTGCTGTGCTTCTTCTGGGTCTATGGGTGAGGATATTGGTTTCATTTTGGTTTGTCGATGATCTCCCTCTCTGTCCAGACACAGTCGGCACCGTGGATCCCAGCACCGGGGGGACCACCATCTCGGTAGTCACCAAAGGTAAAGGGGGTGGCTCAGGCGGAGGCAAGGGCAACTGCCGAGGTGAAGGTTCAGTGTCTCTCGGTGGCCCCTCCTCCATTCCAGGACGATGATGTTGTGCTAGAGTAGGCTCCGCTGCCGTTTGCAGTGGGTCGAGAAGTGGTGGCCAGGTCAATGATGGCAAACCCACCCCAGCCCCAGCCACCCACGGCACCCCAGGTGGTGGGGCCGGTGGTGGCACGGGAACAGGCGGCGCTGTCGGCACAGCGTGTTTGTCTACTGAGCTAACTGGGTTCTTACACGGCCTACCACGCTTTGGCCTCTTTGCTCTGGCTGCTGGTGGTAATAAGTGCAACGGCACATGTTGTCTGATACGTGCGTTCAGGTGTTGAAGAGTCCTACCAACGTACCGGGCAGCACAATTCCGGCACTCAAAGAGATAAACCAAATGGCTTGAAAGCTGGGGAGGTAGGACATCCTTCCTCACCATGAACGCACGTACCGTGGTGAACACGGGGATGAAGTGGGCAGCAAAGTATGTTTTATTGACTAGGGTCTTGATAGCTCTGGACATGCTGACAGACGCGTTGCCTTTCCAAGGCAGGCATAAGTAGATAGGACACTTCCGAGGACCTGTGAATGTATCTTTGTTATTAGATTCTTGCTTCAGTATTTTGTTCAATAAGTCATGTGGGTATCCATTCTTAAGGAATATTGATCTGAGAAATTCCAGCTCGTCGTTGAGCTTCGTTTCAGAGCAGAGCCGCTTTGCTCTCCCCACCAGGTTACGTACCAGGTTCACTTTGTATTGATGTGAGCAATATGAATCATAGACGATGTACTGCCCAGTGAAAGTGGGCTTTCGGTAGACTGATGTTACGACGCTGTTATTAGATTTTTCTACCTGCACATCCAGAAAGGCGAGTTTGTTGTCATGCTCATGCTCACATGTGTATCTAAGCGCTGGGTGTAGGTTGTTTAGATGATGAAAGAATGTGTCACATTGCTCAACGGAATCAAAATTTGTGGCTGCACTCAGTTATATACGTTAGCACTATGTTTGACACCTATTATGTAATGCTGTAGCACTTCCTTTGTTGTTCACACTTTTAATTAATTATGCTGTTATAAAATGTTCTATTGTTGTACACAGTACCCTCAGTTCCGATACTATTCACTGATGAGCGGAACACGAAAATCGATTTTGAATAACATAAAAATCCTTAAAAATTCCATGAACTCGTTGTTGTCTGGCCATGTCTGCATCGATTATACTCCTAATTGCACTAATAAAATTCTAATTTATTATTTCTTTTTCAGTTGAGGGTGTTGAAAAGGGAAAGGGTCTGAAGAAAATTTGATTGTCACCATCAGAACCAGGGTTGGAACCAGGGACCTTCGCTATAGGCCAACAATGCTCTAACCACCGAGCTATGGTGTAGCTGACATACCAGCAGAGACCTTTCAACATTTTCTTCAGACTTCGAAACTCATGCTTTCTGTGACACTACACAGGCTAATGTTAACGCACAAACTAGTACGAGGAGAGCCCCAATATTATCAAACATGTATCAATACTAAGTATTATCAGTCGAGGCTTCATTGCTTCATTGTTTATCATAAACAGTTACTTCTTAGTGGTGGAGCATCGCTGGACATAAGCGAGGCTCCCTGATTCGAGTCCTAGTGGAGACAGTCAATTTTATCTTCAGACTTTTCCCATTTTCAACTCCCTCAACCTTATGAATATCATACTGTAAAAGCCATTATTCTAACTCTGGCGCATATATAACCATTTCCTAAAATTGACTAGTTTACGTGTACCAAAGGTAACAATTCTCACGCATTCTCAACGCTCAATAGAACAGTATATGTATCGATTTCTGCATAAAGATTTCTATTTTAACGTTAGATTTCTCCTCGTTAACTCGTTAGAGTTAGCACTTCGTTATATAATTATATGAGTTTTACAGTATTTCAGTAGTTATTTGAGTGTGCAGGGTTCAAGCCAGATCAAATAAGTGGGATCAAAATAGTGGGGTCGGGGGGGGGGGGGGGCAGGGGAAACAGTTACCCAGTAACCCATTTTGCAAATATTGTCGTGCCATGCCGAATGCAACGTACGGTGGCGAACCCTTCACCCCAGACAAATGTGCCTTTCTGAGCCCCCTCATGACTATCGACTGCATTTTCGTTGAATGACATGAAAAACACCAAAAAAATCGACAAAGGAGGGAGCGCCACTTTTTCACATGGGGGGGGGTCAATCAGAGTAGGAGGGCACTGCCCCCCCCCCCTTTTCTGTAAGTTCCAAACGCCAAACAGTAAACAACTTCTGGCAACAAAAACTCTCCCCTTCTCCCTTTTCCCCTTCTCCCTTTTTCGCATGATATAATGCCCCCTCCCCCCCCCCCCCCACCCATGCCACACCCTCTACATCACACACCCAATCTAAACACATCCAACAAACAAATGTACAATCACAACAGTTTGTTCAACTAGCAATTCAATGTCAGTTTTGAAACTATCTGTGCTCACCTGTGCATGAAATCCGTTCTGCTTTCCACGTTCGACAGTATTCCGCTTGCTGCGGTGAGTTTTCTATGGCAGCCCATCCGTGCATGAAAATTTGTTCGATACGGACAGGATTCCACTTGATGCAGGGACCGCTAAGCCCAAGTGGCATCGTACTTGGAAAGGAGTCAAGACTTCGCCTGTACACCAATTATAAAAGCAGATACTGGACAAAAAGAAATGTTACAAAATCGCCACAAAGGGTATGGTGAGCACTGATGCGCACTCTACTCTAATTACTGTAATCTTGCGCCCGCCGTCTTATAGTGGAAAAATCGCTGTTTTCTGTCCTTTCACTAGTGCTTTTTCCTTCAAATAGAAGAACATGGTCAAATATAAGAACATGGTCTTATATGCCAGAGACAAACATAGCATACCGTATTATCTCTAATATAAGCACGGTCCTTTATTTTTTCAATGTACCTCCGCCCCGTGCTATTAATGGAGACGTTCCTTTATTGGAGACTGTTCCATTATTATTTCAACCTCATTTCAGAGGCATGTTGCCATGCCAAATTTATATGTCAGACACACACATTACAGGGTTTTTTCGCCGGTACAGATAGTGAATTTACACAGTGTGCTTATAATGGAGACTGAGCACTTTATTTTTTGAATGCCGCCCCAAGGTGTTCTATTATTGGAGACGTGCTATTATTGGAGACTGTGCTTATATTAGAGATAATACAATATAAGAACATGGTCTTATATGCGAGAGACAAACATGGCATCAACATGTATATGTGCAATTATACCTCACTCCATATACACTTACCGTCTTAGGCATGCTCTCCCTTAGCGGTGTGTGTATCTCCATATACACCACTAAGGGAAATTAGCAGTAGTTGTCGGCGAGGAACAAGCCATTAGGAGGTCACACACGGTGAATATGGAGAGGTATAAATAATTATATCATAACAAATGAACCTCGTGTATACCGAGATATATACACCAGTTATAAAAACCTCGGCTTCGCCTGGGTTTTCATATTGGTATATATATATATACGTGTAGATAAACTCGGTCACTCGGTTCCTTGTTATCATATATACTAGTACATGTACGGCACACAGCATGCGTGCATGCTACACACAGCATGCATGCATGCTACACACAGCGTGCATGCATGCTACACACAGCGTGCATGCATGCTACACACAGCGTGCATGCATGCTACACACAGCGTGCATGCATGCTACACACAGCATGCATGCATGCTACACACAGCATGCATGCATGCTACACACAGCATGCATGCATGCTACACACAGCATGCATGCATGCTACACACAGCATGCATGCATGCTACACACAGCGTGCATGCATGCTACACACAGCGTGCATGCATGCTACACACAGCGTGCATGCATGCTACACACAGCGTGCATGCATGCTACACACAGCATGCATGCATGCTACACACAGCATGCATGCATGCTACACACAGCATGCATGCATGCTACACACAGCATGCATGCATGCTACACACAGCATGCATGCATGCTACACACAGCGTGCATGCATGCTACACACAGCGTGCATGCATGCTACACACAGCGTGCATGCATGCTACACACAGCATGCATGCATGCTACACACAGCATGCATGCATGCTACACACAGCATGCATGCATGCTACACACAGCATGCATGCATGCTACACACAGCGTGCATGCATGCTACACACAGCGTGCATGCATGCTACACACAGCGTGCATGCATGCTACACACAGTATGCATGCATGCTACACACAGCGTGCATGCATGCTACACACAGCGTGCATGCATGCTACACACAGCGTGCATGCATGCTACACACAGCGTGCATGCATGCTACACACAGCGTGCATGCATGCTACACACAGCGTGCATGCATGCTACACACAGCATGCATGCATGCTACACACAGCATGCATGCATGCTACACACAGCATGCATGCATGCTACACACAGCGTGCATGCATGCTACACACAGCGTGCATGCATGCTACACACAGCATGCATGCATGCTACACACAGCATGCATGCATGCTACACACAGCATGCATGCATGCTACACACAGCATGCATGCATGCTACACACAGCGTGCATGCATGCTACACACAGCGTGCATGCATGCTACACACAGCATGCATGCATGCTACACACAGCGTGCATGCATGCTACACACAGCGTGCATGCATGCTACACACAGCGTGCATGCATGCTACACACAGCGTGCATGCATGCTACACACAGCGTGCATGCATGCTACACACAGCGTGCATGCATGCTACACACAGCGTGCATGCATGCTACACACAGCGTGCATGCATGCTACACACAGCGTGCATGCATGCTACACACAGCGTGCATGCATGCTACACACATATCACATGCTAGCATGTGCAGCGGGACGGAGATCGATGTACAGTGTACGCATCTGATTTTCATTCACAGAGGTGGTCTAATATTCGAATATGACACCATGGTCTTATATGCGCTAGATTACGGTATGTGGATTTTGGATAACCAGATTGCCACCAGGCTGGCAAAAATGAGTTTGTGTACACTAAGGTAAGTTTTTTTTCTCGCTCTGTTGCTGCCCCCCTCTCTCTCTCTCTCTGTCTGCCTGTCTCTGGCTCTCTGTAGATGAGGAAGATGGAGACGAGAGCACCGTATTTTACCCGTGATAAATCTATCCCACTACGTGGGGTCTCGATTCATCGGTTCAATATCAATATGATCAAAAGCTGTTTGCCAGTAACTCAAGCACCTTCTTTTAAATTTTTTTCTGTAGGTCATATTAGAAGGTCGACTTCTAACCAGGAAAATACGGTAGTTGTGAAATGGAGTATGATGTCGAGAAGGAGAAGAAGATAGATGGAAATGAGAGTGGCAGAAATGTAGCCATGCCCCCCCCCCACAAAAACGACTTTGGGGACAGAAACCGAGCGCTAGTACAACATACATGATAGAACTAAGAACACATCATCACTATGCAAGCATAATTGCTGCATTGCCTCATCCGAATCACACTATCACCATACCAATCTATGCCTACAACCTGGAAGGCAATACCCATCATCATGTCCAGCTGTCAATGAATTGCTGCATCCGTAACAAAATAGCTAGCTTCAAGCAGCCCAACAGGAAGGAGTGAGGACTCGTATTCCAACCATACACTACAAGATAGTGGACTGTCTCCGTTACCACCTGCGACATTAAAAAAAGAGTAAATTATCGTGTCCGTTCCCCGAAGGGAACTGGGACATGCTGTCCAAAAACTATTGCACATTTACTTGAAATAGGCATATTAGAATAAGGGACATGCTGTCCAAAACTATTGCACGTTTACTTGAAATAGGCATATTAGAATAAGGGACATGCTGTCCAAAACTATTGCACGTTTACTTGAAATAGGCATATTAGAATAAGGGACATGCTATCCAAAATTATTGCACGTTTACTTGAAATAGGCATATTAGAATAAGGGACATGCTGTCCAAAACTATTGCACGTTTACTTGAAATAGGCATATTAGAATAAGAGACATGCCGTCCATAATTATTGCACGTTTACTTGAAATAGGCATATTAGAATAAGGGACATGCTGTCCAAAACAATTGCACGTTTACTTGAAATAGGCATATTAGAATAAGGGACATGCTGTCCATAATTATTGCACGTTTACTTGAAATAAGCATAATTATTAGAATAAGGGACATGCTGTCCAAAATTATTGCACGTTTACTTGAAATAGGCATATTAGAATAAGGGACATGCTGTCCAAAACTATTGCACGTTTACTTGAAATAGGCATATTAGAATAAGGGACATGCTGTCCAAAACTATTGCACGTTTACTTGAAATAGGCATATTAGAATAAGAGACATGCCGTCCATAATTATTGCACGTTTACTTGAAATAGGCATATTAGAATAAGGGACATGCTGTCCAAAACTATTGCACGTTTACTTGAAATAGGCATATTAGAATAAGGGACATGCTGTCCAAAACTATTGCACGTTTACTTGAAATAGGCATATTAGAATAAGGGACATGCTGTCCAAAACTATTGCACGTTTACTTGAAATCGGCATATTAGAATATTTTCACACTTTACCACATACTACTTGCACTAACAACAAAGACAAATTTCCTATCCATTGACTATCCATTGACGACGGACAGTGCTTTCTTAAAGGGGAAGTTAAGGCAAAAATTAAAATTTCACCAGTTGTAGTCTTCGGGGTGCTGAGTCGAATGGTCTTGGTCCGAGAAAGCTGAGACGCTCCCTTCCTACTTGAATCCCAATCGAACTCGCGCACTTCCACCGAAACTGGGTGACTGCGCCCTACTAGATGGGGATTTGTATGCAAAATGTCACTAAAAGCGCCATTTCGTTCTTATAAAAGCACGGATGACCGCGATTGGCCCATATGTTGTAGTCTTTTGGACGCTGAGTCGACTGGTTTTGGTCCGAAAAGGCTGCGATGCAGCGTTCCTCCTTTATTCCCAATCGAACATGGTTGAACAAGCGGTCACGTGCTCCTGGGTGCCCAAATCACCTGGTCACCACGCCAGCAGGCGACAACTTTCACACCAAGGTTCAACTCGAGTGACTGGATTGCACCCAAAAAAGGTCAAACAGGCTATTAAGTTGTACCCTGCAGGCACGGTGACCAGGTGACTGGCGTACGCAGGAGCACGTGACCGCTTGTTCAACCATGTTCGATTGGGAATATTGGGCATGGTTGAGATAATATGAGGTGTACACTGATACCTAATTACCCTGACACCAAAGTCACTCAGTGCATGGTTGAGATAATTATGAGCTGTACACTGATACCTCATTACCCTGACACCAAAGTCACACAGTGCATGGTTGAGATAATATGAGCTGTACACTGATACCTCATTACCCTGACACCAAAGTCACGGGCACTTCGGTCTACCGGGCACTCTTTGGGAAACTTTAAGTCGAAAAATTGTCACCTTCGTGGATCCGCACAACGCAATTAAGTTAGTACTAACGTAGTCGATCTATGGAAAGTCTTACGTACACTGCATATGGATCCGTGTTCCGCCATACGTAGTTTCCAATCATGTAGCTGCCCTTGGCAACTCCAAACGCGACAGTGTACAGCCTAGGGAGAGAGTCATAAATGTATACCCCAATCCACTTACGGAGGGAGAGAGTCGTAAATTTACACCCTAATCCACTTACGGAGCACCTCCATTAGTAGAGATCCATTTATGTACTCTACGTAGACAACTTTCCAAAAGTGGATTGAAAACTCGCGAATTTACGGGTTTCCCGCCCACTTACGTAGTGCGGAACCTCTGTAGTGACATCATAATATTATCATGCCATAGATCTAGCCATTACCTCAAATGTACGTGACTCAGAGTTACAGACATTTCCAAGTTACAGGCAGTGCTCGGTCCCGGACCACCCTGGATAAACGAGGTGTGAGTGTAACTCATTCCTGTTGGGGCGCTTGAATTTCGGCAATTTTGTGATGCAGTCCATTGAAGTCTGCACATGATGGCTATTGCCTTCCAGGATGTAGGCCTGGTTTTGTGTGGTGGTGATGTGACTGAGGTGATGATTTCACTCATAATTATGGTTTGTTATTAACTTTTGTCATGTGCTCGTCGTATGTTGTACCAGCACTTACCCTGTGTCCCATACTTCAGTCGTTTCAATTTTTTGAGGGTGGGGGGGGGGCATATTTGAGGCGTACCCTATTCCAAGATGTAGCCGGGCCGTAAGTTGAGCAACGAATCGTTTTGCATGGTTGTTGTAGACCCCAAAGGGAACATACTTTGAAACATTTGATAAGTATTTCGGTGGGACGGGAATGTACAATGGGAGGCACATTGAACTGTGCAGCAAACGGGCACTAAAGCCGGTCCAGTGAAAGAATAACACATACAGGATTTCAAGCACTGGTACTCGGTTCTTTCGTCGTGTACTGGAACTAAGTTTCACAATACATCTCATTATCCTTAGCTACAAGCACAAGTCATACCAGTCATTATCACCTTCATAGTACAGTCTGTACTGACCATAGCCTACTCTTTATATTTCAGCGTTTTCATCATCGTATCTAATGTCTCACATCATCATCGTACCACATGTATAATAATGTATGCATGCATGTACACCACGGACAACTACATACTAATAATAATAATAATAATAATAATAATAATAATAATAATAATATTAACTGATTTGAGGGAAAGAGACAAACGGGAAAAGTCTGAAGAACAAATTGACTGTCACCACCAGGACTCGAACCAGGGACCCTCGCTTGTAGCCAGCGATGCTCTAACCACTGAGCTATGGTGTAGTCGTCATCCAAGCAGAGACCGTTCAACGTTTTCTTCAGACTTCGTAACTCACACTTCCTGTGAATCCACACAGGCGGGTGGGACGCAGCCCTCACTGTACCCACACACTTCACGTACAAACTAGCACGCGGGGAGCCCCAAGTCATAAAATATTAACTGATTTGAGGGAAATAGACAAACGGGAAAAGTCTGAAGAACAAATTGACTGTCACCACCAGGAATAATAATAATAATAATAGTAATTTGAAACTCGGGTATTGAGCCAATAATAAAAGTAGAAAGGAAAAGGACATATGAAAACGAGTTAAGAGTAACTCTCCGCCACTGTAACTAGATACTATATACAGTCAGAAAGTGCAACAACTAGGCACAAAACTGACAGAGTACTGAGACATTCGACGTCCTGACACATACGTCGTGTGAAACAACTTGTTTTGTAGTCAACTAGTCCATCACAATGTCATGCATGAGGAGTACTGTAGGAGTTTAGATTTCGGCTTGTACAATTCGTTCTGGCAAAGCTTCCCCCTTCTAAACTTATCTTTGATATTTTTGACCCACCCAAGTTGGGTGGTGTGCTGCTTTGCTGCTTCGAATTGTAGTTAGACCGCTTTGTCAAATCGCCTACTGGTCTCGTCATCGTCCAGTGACAATCGACATTCTTTGTTCCGTTGGGACTGTAGCTTGTGCTCGTTTTCGTTGCGCTTGCCTTCCCCTCTTTGGTCTTTCCATAACCTTGAACCTTCCAAGTTGGAAGGCTGTCGGTTAGCGCTACGGAGATGTGTTGAAGCTAGGTGTCAGGACGTCGAATGTCTCAGTACTCTGTCAGTTTTGTGCCTAGTTGTTGCACTTTCTGACTGTATATAGTATCTAGTTACAGTGGTGGAGAGTTACTCTTAACTCGTTTCCATATGTCCTTTTCCTTTCTAATAATAGTAATAATAACAATTGTGAAAAGAAGAAGGACAAAATGTTACAAGTTATGACTAACTGTCCACCAACGTAACCAGATCTTATACAGTCAGCGAGTGCAACAAAATGGCACAAAACTGACAAGGAGTACTGAGACATTCGGCGACCTGACACCTAGCTCCAACACTTCTCCAAGGCGCAAATCAACAACCTTCCAACTTGGAAGGCTCATGTTCGGAAAGGTCCAAGAGGGGAAGGAAAGCGCAACGCAATCTCAGTTTTGTGCCATTTTGTCGCACTCGCTGACTGTATAAGATCTGGTTACGTTGGTGGACAGTTGTCATAACTTGTAACATTTTGTCCTTCTTCTTTTCACAATTATTTGATTGGCTCACCATCCGAATAATAACAATAATAATAACACAGATACACGTACAACATGCACAGCCGTGCTGTACCTGCTTTCGCTGCTGTTCTCTAGCTCTGTCCAATATATGTATGTCAATATGCGGCAGTTGTGGCGACTCCTTCAGATTATCTGCCGCCATCCATTATACTAAGAAGACGATAATGACTGGTATTGATTTGTGCTTGTAGCTGAGGATAATGAGATGTATTGTGAAACTTAGTTCTAGTACACGTAGCAAGAACCGAGTACCAGTGCCTGAAGCCATGTATGTGTTATTATTACACTGTCCGTGTATGTGTTATTATTACACTGTCCATGTATGTGTTATTACTACACTGTCCGCTTGCTGGATAGTTTGTATAGCTGTATAGTTACCACCGCTTTAGGAGCTGCACTGGTGCCTTGATCCCAGAGGGTGGTGGCATTTCTACGGATGCGCAAAACTCGGCCTCAAGCCGAGTCTGACGCGAACCGTGATTTTTTCCCCGTAGAGTTCCATGTGACTACCATGGTACATTCCCGTGCCACCGAAATACTCTTATCAAATGTTGCAAAGTAGGCTTCTTTTGGGGTCTACAACAACCATGCAAAATGATTCGTAGCTCAACTTACAGCCTGGCTACACCTTGGAATCGGGGTACGCCTCAAAATACCCCCCCCCCCCACCCAAAAAAACAACAACAATAACCTAGAAACGACTGAAGTAAGTGCTGGTACAACATCCGACGAGCACATGACAAAGCTAAAAACAAACCATAATAATTATTATGAGTGAAATCACCTCCTCAGTCACATCACCACCACACAAAACCAGGCCTACATCCTGGAAGGCAATAGCCATCATGTGCAGACTTCAATGGACTGCATCACAAAATTGCCAAATTCAAGCGCCCCAACAGGAATGAGTTACACTCACACCTCGTTTATCCAGGGTGGTCCGGGACCGAGCACTGCCTGTAACTGAAATGTCTGTAACTCTGAGTTACATACATCTTGATGGGGAAAGGCTATAGATATGGCATATGACGTCACTATTTCCACAAAAAGTGACAAAAGAGTAGTAATATTTCAACCGAAACTCGTCCAAAGGGTGCCCGGTAGACCGAAGTGCCCGTGACTTCGGTCTCCGGACAACTGAGGTATCGGTGTATGGCTCATACTTTCTGAACCATGCACTGCAAGATAGTGAACATCTCCATTACCGTCCACAGGGCACCCAGTACATGGGTGTGTTCCAGGTTTTCCTGAAAATAGATTAATTTTACCTACCCGATGACGGAAAGCACTTCATCAAGCTCCAACAACAGGCACCACACCAGACGCCTGTATGCCAAACCTTGCAGCCTGGTCACCTCTATGCAGTCTAACAAGACATCTGCAAAAACATCCTGTGTCACTCAAAATATAATACATCCTCTCCGAAGTGACTCGAGTTTCACCAGCAGCAATGCTTTGCTGGGGTCCAAAAGGTATTGAACAAATCCCGATTAGTGTGATCTCATTGATCTGGGAAGATCAGTCAAACTCGCTATTCTACTATGACACATGGTCAGTGCAGGCCCTGCAGCACCGCTCTCATGACGCAACAGTGTCACGCTTGACTTCGGTCATACTGTCAGGATATGTCGCCCCAGAGAGGATATGCTTGCTGTTTGGAGTGACAAGGACTTTCTGTGCATATGTTTTGTTAGACTGCTTAGAGGTGACCATGCTGCAGTTTTTGGCATACAGGTCTCTAGCGTGATGCCTGTTATTGGAGCTTGAGGAAGCGCTGTCCGTCAACGGATACTGGATACCGATAGGTAATTGGCCCTGTTGTTAGTGTACTTCCGTAGTACCGGTATGACTATGTAGCAAAGTGAAAATATTCAAATAGTTTCAAGCACATGTACAGTGCCTTCGTGAGTCCAGGGACTACAGACTACAGTATTTCATTGATAATATTATTTCGTAAAGGCCTATTTCGCGGTAAGGAAGGGAAGGTCGGTGAGCACCACTGCTGATTGGCCATACACATGGTCCACACTTGTCCTCACTCAACGTCAATAAATTTTAATTTACCTTGAGCAGTAGAACAGAGGTCGTCAGCACATAACGTATTCCGCGAGTTTCTCCGTTATGGGCAAATAAGACGGCCCACAAGCCTAGTGCCACAGCTCCAGAAGACAGCTTGAGTTATTTCCCGCTGCTCGCGTGCTGACAGCAGTCAAAATAATTCTCTCCTATCCTCCTTGCTTGTCAAATAATATTCCAAACATTGTTCAAGTATTTGCCAGGAAAGAAGCTGACTAGGCCACACCGGGGGGAGAGGGGTGTTTGTATCGGGAATTGCACTCGAAGCTCTTGCAAACTAGACCAGTTAAAGCTTGCTTGAACCAACACCGCGACTACAACGCAAGACCAAAGGCAAGAAGATAAAGAGAACAGGAGAAAAAGCAAGCAAGTAGAAGTATGATTGTGCCGAGTAAAAGTTTAAAATTCGCGGTGCACATATCATGGCCTACTCAGCTACTGTAAAAGCAGACATTTTCGGTGGTGTCTATTTTTGGTAACTTCGGTGCTGACAATTTTTACCCAAAATAAAACGCACCGAAAATGTCGGTACTACCTGTACTGTATACATGCAGAACTAGTACACTTACCGGTACCTGGAAAACGGGTTTACCGAAAATTTCCCTCCACCGAACCGCCGATTTTGGAGAATACGGAAAATATTACACCACCGAAAATTTATGCTTTTACAGTATGTAGACTACGTGCAGATATCGTGGTCTTTGTGGTCCACTTTCACAACAATAACACAAACATGCACAGAAGTCTCTGCTAGTTGCTGTGAGCACGGTGGCTCGGCAACGGCTTTATTTATTGATATTATTATAATATTATCTCTTTCCTGATTTTTTCCTTCTTTTTCCTTGCATATAAATTGTATGCATAGAGCCTGGTAAGAAAAAAATATGCACAAGACACTGCTGCTACTGTAGTCGGACAGCAAAACACACAGAAAACGACAAAATGTTACAATGAATGAAACAACACCGGTCCATGCTAAAGGACCTATATCCCTGCCCAAGGACGGCATCTCTAAATCCCCACACACTCACCACACGGTCATCATCCAGCGTCAGTTCAATCACTGTATTCTTCCCCTGCAGACTCAACACCCCTGTCACTATACTAGCCATACAATCTGAAGCTGTATGTAACCACGGCATACAATGGCCCACGACGCACACCTCCCCTACGTTTTTTAACTAAAAAGGAAAAACAGTCGTAACTGCCACAGCCACATGGCCAATATTGGCAATAAGAAAACCAATAAGATATCGATAAACACACACCCAGAAGTCAGGGATGGGAGGGTGGGATACTAACTGCACCAACAATAAGCCACTGCGAAGTGACAGGAATGTGGTCCAGCACAATATTTTTGCTGAAGCAAAAAGTTGCGGGGAAATCTCAAAATCGATGCGATTTTGCATGAGCCCCAATGTTCAAGTTACCCACAAAGACACAAGCGTTCCAACTCTCTTTGGCCGTTGGAAAGCGTACCTTCTCTGCATTTGGCACGTGCTCGGCAACAAGATTCAAGATTTCAAACTGCATCATTTTTTTTGTCTTTTGAGATGGATTGCAGGGTAAATCTAGAAAGACGTTGAAAATCAATATCATTACTGAGATATTCCTTAGACTGAGGGTATGACAAATAATTAGTTTGATATAACGAGTGATTTGGACAATCCCTGAACTCCGGCATCATGGTGCTGTGACTGCTGTCCATGTAGATATACTAGAATGTGCCATGGCCAAAGTGTGCCGCTGCAACATGGACAGTGACCATCGTGATTTCCTGCAATAGGCACACAAAGGGTAGTGCACAACAGAATTGACACACATTGTCATATACGACCTGCCCAGGGCTGCTGAACCCGGCGATAACCGATCTCAAAGTTTGGGGCTTTTTGCCCGTACATCCTGTCTTGGAACTCAAGCCAGTCACAGCACGGTCAAATTTCCTGATGCACTGCCTACGAGTGCGAGCGACCTACTAGCAAACCAAAAATCTAAGCAAATCCAGCACCCACATTGCAGCTGGGCCCATTTACCAACAGGTACATTGAAAAGAACAGGTGCGCACAAATGGTCAAAAATTCACCACTTCTCACCTTTCCGACTATTCACAGCTGCAACATGGACAGTGACCACCGTGAATTCCTGAAATATTCACACAAAGGGTAGTGCACAACAGAAATGACACACATTGTCATATACGACCTGCCCAAGGCTGCTGAAAGCTGAAAATTACCTATCTCCCAGTTTGGGGCTTTTTGCCCGTGCATCCGGACTTGGAACTCAAGCCACTTACAGCAGGGTCAAATTTCCTGAGGCACTGCCTACGAGTGCAAGCGGCCTACTAGCAAACAATAAATATAAGCTAATCCAGCACCCACATTGAAGCTGGGCCCATTTACCCACAAGAACATCATCAGGAAAAAGAACACAAGCGCAGAAATGGTCCAAAATTCACTATTTCTCACCTTTCCCACTATTCACACCTGCAACTTGGACAGTGACTATTGTGAATTCCTAAAACAGACACACAAAGGGTAGTGCACAAGAGAAATGACACACATTATCATAAACGACCTGCCCAGGGCTGCTGAACACTAAAAATTACCTATCTCCCAGTTTGGGGCTTTTTGCCCGTGCATCCGCACTTGGAACTCAAGCCAGTTACAGCAGGGTCAAATTTCCTGGGGCACTGCCTACGAGTGCAAGCGGCCTACTAGCAAACCAAAAAGCTAAGCATGGCCAGCAATCGAGGACATCTGAGAGTTGTAATTTTTGTACTCCTCCGGGGTGTGATTTTTGGCGTGCTGGGCCAAGCACAAGGAAGCTCCCTGCAAAAAAACTGCAGAAAATGGTTGTTGTTTGATCCTTTGGTGTAATCTTTGTTTCTAGTCGAAGCTAGTTGCTGTTTGGAGCAGAAACGCTGAAATTGACTATTTTCTGCATGTACTCATTCATGTACTCATGTACTCAGTCATGCAGTCTCACTCGTATTTTAGCTCTTTTTCTGGAATGGATGCTGCTCTGCGCCCCTTGGTGAACATTTCCTGCGCTCGTGGAGCAGCTGAAAAGGACCACTGGTATGTCTGGCTCCTGGTTTGAAAGTGGAGAGTCGACTTTTGTGCCTTGAAAAAGGAGTAGAGAGCGATAAAGGTACGTCTGTGGCTTATTTTTGAGTGCTCCGCGTACATTTTTGATCATGATAGAAATTCTCAGACCAAAGTCAGACCAAAGTCAGCGCGATGATGGCCGTCCAGTTTTCTTGTGGATTTTTTAGTTGTTTCATCTCGTATCTATGTCAGTATCGTGATGGTGAAGTGGAGAGGGTGATTTTCTTCCTCTAGGCTTCGTTCGGCCGACTTTGCTTCGTCCTCGTTGAAAAGTGATCCTGAAAAAAAGATCGATTCGCAAAATTATGTTGATTTTCAATGTACGTGATGACATGCGATTGCTGGCTATGCAATTCCAGCACCCACATTGCAGCTGGGCCCGTTTACACACACTTACATTGAAACGAACAGGTGCGCACAAATGGTCAAAATTTACCTATTTCTCACCTTTCCTACTATTCACAGCTGCAACATGTACATTGACCACCGTGAATTCCTGCAATAGGCACACAACGGGAAGTGCACAACAGAAATGCCAGACATTGTCATAAACGACCTGCCCAGGGCTGCTGAAACCTTAAATGAGCCCGTGCTTTACACAGCCGGATATGTACATGCGCGTGCATGCGGACCCACACGCATGAACGAGCACACACAGAATAGTCTGGTTGAGTTAAATTGGATAGGTGGAGTTCTGGATTCGAACAACTGGTGCAATGTCACGTGACTCAGCAAATGAGTCGCAACGCGAAAAGACTCTGCTGAGTCGCGAACAGGCAATGACTCTGCAACTGAGTCGCAAGCAAGCAAACAGGGCAAACCAGTTGTGAGTGAACATCCGCACTCCCCAATGTTTTATTTTACTTGTTTGTTTTTTAGAATTGAATATGGCAAGTTACAGCGGATGCAAGTGAAGACCACATAGGCTGCAGAGAATATAGCAACATGTTAACGTAGAGCAACAGCTATAGGGTGGGTGTTGGTGGGGAAGAAAAAGCTAGAAGCAAAACTGTGAAAGCCAGGCAGCAGCAGCGAACTCTACTTTCACAAAGGCAACACTCAAAGCAAGGCACGTGGGAAAAGTTTGGAGCAGAAGAAATACGAGGTGTGAGCTGCAACCTCTCTTGGCACGGTTTCGGAGCTGCGCTGTAGATAAGCGCCGTGAATCTGCGTGATTGATTAGTATAATCAAGCTGCCAGCTGGCAGGTGTTCATGCGGTGCTAACACGCTCTAGCCATTGGCTAGTGCGCCAATAACCGATCTCCAAGTTCGGGGCTTTTTGCCAGTGCATCCGGACTTGAAACTCAAGCCTGTTACCGCAGGGTCTAGTTTCCTGGGGCAATATCTGCGAGTGCAAGCAGACTACTAACAAACCAAAAATCTAAGCAATTCGAGCACCCACATTGCAGCTGGGCCCATTTACACACACTTACATTGAAACGAACAGTTGCGCACAAATGGTCAAAATTTTCTTTTTTCTCACCTTTCCGACTATTGACACCTGCAACATGGACAGAGACTATGGTAACTTCTTCCAACAGACACGCAAAGGGTAGTGCACAACAAGAATGACACACACTGTCATAAACGACTTGCCAAGGGCTGCTTAACCCTAAAAATTACCTATATCCCAGTTTGGGTCTTTTTGCCCGTGCATCCGGACTTGGAACTCAAGACAGTTACAGCAGGGTCAAATTGCCTGTGACACTGCCTACGACTGCAAGCAGCCTACTAGCAAAGCAAAAATTTAAGCAATTCCAGCACCCACATTAATGCTGGGCCCATTTACCCACAGGTACATTGAAAAGAACACAAGCGCAGAAATGGTCCAAAATTCACCATTTCTCACCTTTCCGACTATTCGCACCTGCAACTTGGACAGTGACCATCGTAAATTCCTACAGCAGACACACAAAGGGTAGTGCACAACATAAATGACACACATTGTCATAAACGACCTGCCCAGGGCTGCTGAAAGCTGAAAATTACCAGTATCCAAGTTTGGGGCTTTTTGCCCGTGCATCCGGACTTGGAACTCAAGCCAGCTACAGCAGGGTCAAATTTCCCGGGGCACTGCCTACGAGTGCAAGCAGCCTACTAGGAAACAATAAATACCGTACTGGCAATATATGTTGCCGCAGTGAGGCCATGAAGCATTACATTGGCACATGTTTGCCGCACGCAGGGCGTTACATGCAAAGTCGCACAGGAGCCGTTACACAGGTTTCTATATTGCCGCAGTCCTTTTTTTGCTATTGCCGCATCACTTTTTTGCTATTGCCGCATCATTTTTTTTGCTTTTGCCGCATCATTTTTTCTTGTGCAGTGCAAACTGCAATGAAAAGATCGCCGCACCCCGCCGGACGCGCGTTACGAACTCAACGAAAATTTGTCGCACTAGCCTGGTCGCGCGTTACGCCGCACCCCCCTGCGTTACGCGTTACGCGGCAACATATATTGCCAGTACGGTATAAGCTAATCCAGCACCCACATTGAAGCTGGGCCCTTTTACCCACAGGTACATTGAAAAGAACACATGCGCACAAATGGACCAAAATTTATCTTTTCTCACCTTTCCGACTATTCACACCTGCAACTTTGACAGTGACCATTGCTAATTCCTACAACAGACACAAAAAGGGTAGTGCACAAGAGAAATGGCACACATTTCAATAACTGACCTGCGCAGGGCTGCTGGAAGCTGAAAATAACCTATCACCCAGTTTGGGGCTTTTTGCCCGTGCATCCGGACTTGGAACTCAAGCCAGTTACAGCAGGGTAAAATTTCCTGGGACACTGCCTACGAGTGCAAGCAGCCTACTAGCAAACCAAAAATTTAAGCAAATCCAGCACCCACATTGAAGCTGGGCCCATTTACCCACTGGTACATTGAAAAGAACACAAGCGCAGAAATGGTCCAAAATTCACTATTTCAGACCCTTCCGACTATTCTCACCTGGAACTACTGCACAGGCAGAAAAATTCGTCGGTCAATAATTTCGTCCAACTCCAAAGAAAGGGAGTTCGTCTGGTTGTAAATTTCGTCCATGGATCATAAAAGTGTATTGGAAATACTGGACAAATTGATATTAAAAGTAGAAAGGAAAAGAACATATGGAAAGGAGTTAAAGGGGAAGTCAAGGCAAAAATTAAAATTTCACCAGTTGTAGTCTTCGGGGTGCTGAGTCGAATGGTCGTGGTCCGAGGAAGCTGAGACGCTCCCTTCCTACTTGAATCCCTATCGAACTCGCGCACTTCCACCGAAACTGGGTGACTGCGCCCTACTAGATGGGGATTTGTATGCAAAATGTCACTAAAAGCGCCATTTCGTTCTTATAAAAGCATGGATGACCGCGATTAGCCCATATGTTGTAGTCTTTTGGACGCTGAGTCGACTGGTTTTGGTCCGAAAAGGCTGCGATGCGGCGTTCCTCCTTTATTCCCAATCGAACATGGTTGAACAAGCGGTCACGTGCTCCTGCGTACACCAGTCACCTGGTCACCGTGCCTGCAGGGTACAACTTACTAGCCTGTTTGACCTTTTTTGGGTGCAGTCCTGTCACTCGAGTTGAACTCGAGTTGAACCTTGGTGTGAAAGTTGTCACCTGCTGGCGTGGTGACCAGGTGATTTGGGCACCCAGGACCACGTGACCGCTTCTTCAACCATGTTCGATTGGGAATAAAGGAGGAACGCTGCATCGCAGCCTTTTCGGACCAAAACCAGTCGACTCAGCGTCCAAAAGACTACAACATATGGGCCAATCGCGGTCATCCATGCTTTTATAAGAACGAAATGGCGCTTTTAGTGACATTTTGCATACAAATCCCCATCTAGTAGGGCGCAGTCACCCAGTTTCGGTGGAAGTGCGCGAGTTCGATTGGGATTCAAGTAGGAAGGGAGCGTCTCAGCTTCCTCGGACCAAGACCATTCGACTCAGCACCCCGAAGACTACAACTGGTGAAATTTTAATTTTTGCCTTAACTTCCCCTTTAAGAGTAAGTCTCCACCACCGTAACTAGATACTATATACAGTCAGAAAGTGCAACAACTAGGCACAAAACTGACAGAGTACTGAGACATTCGACGTCTTGACACCTAGCTTCAACACATCTCCGTAGCGCTAACTGACAGCCTTCCAACTTGGAAGGTTCAAGGTTATGGAAAGACCAAAGAGTTGAAGCTATGTGTCAGGACGTCGAATGTCTCAGTACTTTGTCAGTTTTGTGCCTAGTTGTTGCACTTTCTGACTGTATATAGTATCTAGTTACAGTGGTGGAGAGTTACTCTTAACTCCTTTCCAATGTTTCCATATGGCCTTTTCCTTTCTACTTTTGTTATTGGCTTCATACCCGAGTTTCAAATTGATATTAGTCCGGCAAAAATAAATTTAGTCCAAAAGCTGCTTGGACGAAACGACTAAATTAAATTCCAGACGAATATTTCTTCTTATTACACGTCAGGTGACCGTTTCCAGGTCTACAACCAATCAGCGACCAGATAGAGCGGGCAATATTTCTCCATACCAGCCCGCTCAGGCGGTCCAATATTACACGATATTGCCCCGACATTTGACCCCATACACACTGTACACATACACATACAAATCGTACACGCGTACCCTTCCGCACCCCCCCCCCCCCCCCCCGCACCCCGGGTCCTTTCACTTCTGCACCACTGCACATACCAACAAAGCAAACCACACCACCAAAAAGGTTTCATTGTTACTTGTAGTGTGAAGGAGCGCTGACGATGGCTGAGGAAGAAGGACTACTCGGCTAATAGATATTGGGGGGGGGGGGGGTATTTCCCTGATACTACTCGGCTAATAGATATTGGGGGTATTTCCCTGATACTACTCGGCTAATAGATATTGGGGGGGGGGGGATTTCCCTAATACTACTCGGCTAATAGATATTGGGGGGGTATTTCCCTGATACTACTCGGCTAATAGATATTGGGGGGGGGGGGGGTATTTCCCTGATACTACTCGGCTAATAGATATTGGGGGGGGGGGTATTTCCCTGATACTACTCGGCTAATAGATATTGGGGGGGGGGGGGGTATTTCCCTGATACTACTCGGCTAATAGATATTGGGGGGGGGGGGTATTTCCCTGATACTACTCGGCTAATAGATATTGGGGGGGGGGGTATTTCCCTGATACTACTCGGCTAATAACACATACTTATACAGTGGTAGGCACTTCAGGCGGTTTTTTCAAAACCAGAAATAGTCGTATTTCTTTCTTGTATCCGATTTAGATAGGTTTAGGAAGACTCCACAGAAAATTTGAAGCAAAAAGAATAACTTGGCACAGAGAAATAGCCACCCAAAGTCGGAGAATTGAATAACGGCAATTTCAGTATTTCGATGGCACCAGCAGCATATCACCGATTGCCATGACTTTCTTCAGTGTCTATAGTGGCAAAATACCAGGCTCACTGGAAGCAGGTCAAAATAACCAGATGAATGCAGAAACAGCATGGTTGGGAAAAACTTCGCATTTTTCATCCGTCCGGCAGCTCAGACGTAGATATCGGGTGTGGTCACCATGGCAGCTCCATAGCAACAGCATAGCAACTCCATCGCAACAGCATGAAAACAGTGCTGAGAAGCCTTTGGAAAAGCATATGATGAGACTTTGAGGTAAGATAGAGTAACTACAATAATTCAGTGCCAGAACACATTGTTGCTACATGTACAGTACTGACGTGGTGACGAGTACGGAAGAACAATGAGCCGAAGACTGAGCAAACTAGAATTTTACCGGGTAGAATATTACCGGGTATTTGACGAAAAGAAATGACATACTATCACATGTAGAACATCGTCTGCAAATTTTTGGGACTACTGAAACTTCAGCAACTCCAGCATGAGAGATTTTGTGCATAGAGTGTGTGTTGGATTCTCGGATATACATTATTATTATATAAATATCACCGTCAATGCTTTTCTTGGTCGCTGGAAACCACCTGCTGATCAGCTGACGATTTGTTCCAAGCAGGCCGTTTTGATGTCAGCCCTCTTGGTCCAATCGCCGAAGTATATACTGTCCTACTCGTCGCCTGCAGGAGAGAACGACTGCTCCGATGCGACTCCAATAACACCTGGCAATATTTCTTCTTGCGCAGCCATACGCATGGACGCCGATAAACAAGGACCACATGTGCTGCCGGGAGGATGCCTGCCGCGGTTCGCTTTCAATACCACCTCGCATTATTTCTTCTTGTGCAGCTATGCGCAAAGTGTCGGACGAACGTGGACAACTGATTCCGAAAGGAAATACGACGCTGAAGACGATGAGCTACATGGCAAATGTGTGTAATCAAGTGTAATGCCCGGAAAACCCTTGCCGATTTTATTCGAACTGTACGTGAGTACAAAAAATTGCCGCATCATGACGTATGTGGGCTCAAACGGAAGCTGAGGGCCTCCGCTACATGCTGCGCAACACGAGAAGGCCCTGCGCAGCTTCCATGCAGCTACAGATCGATTTATGCATGCGCCTATCTGTGGTGCCACGCATGTACGCGATTCAGCGTTAGTACTTTGTGACAGGTCATGTCACGCGACTGAAGTGCCTACCACTAGGTTAGTGACCACCGTTAATTCCTACAACAGACACGCAAAGGGTAGTGCACAAGAGAAATAGCACAAATTGTCATGAACGACCTGCCCCAGCCTGCTGAACCCTAAAAGTTACCTATCTCCCAGTTTGGGGCTTTTTGCCCGTGCATCCGGACTTGGAACTCAAGCCAGAACCAGCAGGGTCAAATTTCCTGGGGCACTGCCTACGAGTGCAAGCGGCCGACTAGCAAACCAAAATTTTAAGCAAATCCAGTACCCACATTGAAGCTGGGCCCATTCACCCACAGGTACATTGAAAAGAACACAAGCGCAGAAATGGTCCAAAATTCACCATTTCTCACCTTACCGACTATTCACACCTGCAACTTGGACAGTGACCACCGTGAATTCCTACAACAGACACACAAAGGGTAGTGCAGAACAGAAATGACACACATTGTCATAAACGACCTGCCCAGGGCTGCTGAACCCTAAAAATTACCTATCTCCTAGTTTGGGGCTTTTTGCCCGTACATCCAGACTTGGAAGTCAAGCAAGTTACATCAGCCTCAAATTTCCTGGGACACTGCCTACGAGTGCAAGCGGCCTACTAGCAAAAAATAAATATAAGCCAATCCAGCACCCACATTGCAGCTGGGCCCATTTACCCACAGGTAAATTGAAAAGAACACATGCGCACACATGGACCAAAATTCACCATTTCTCACCTTTCCGACTATTCACACCTGCAACTTGGACAGTGACCATCGTGAATTCCTACAACAGACACACAAAGGGTAGTGCACAAGAGAAATGACACACATTGTCATAAACGACCTGTCCAGGGCTGCTGAAAGCTGGAAATAGCCTATCTCCTAGTTTGGGGCTTTTCGCCGGTGCGCCTGACTTGGAACTCAAGCCATCTACAGCGGGGTCAAATCTCCTGGGGCACTGGCTACGAGTGCGAACGGCCTACTAGCAAACAATAAATATACTACCTCCGACAAGCGAAACTTGGCGCGTTTTTTTGATTTTTTTGTGTTGGTACCAAAACTACTTCACAAGACTGTGAGGTACGACCTACTTGTAGCTCCATGCAACCGGGTGCAGGAAGCCAAGCGACACGCTGGTGAGTGGCACATGGCTCATACTTAGTCAGAAGCAAGCGTGTCTCTCGTGTACCAGCAAAACTGTGCCCGCGTCCATTCTGCGAAGGAGAATTGTTGTGCTTTCGCGTTTCAATGCAAAACCAAGGAGTTCTCTCTCTCTCCTCTTGGTCACTCCGCCAGCACAGAGTCCATGCGTCCATGCCAAACAATCCTAGCGTCTTTCAACAGCCACCAGAGCGATGCGTCTCTGGTGGCTAAGGAAAATCGCCAGGAATTGCTGCAGGCAATTTTGGACAGTTGGCGAGAATACCCTGCAAAACAGTTGGAGTCCAGGCGCTTGTGGAGGTGTTGCACAGTTCTTACCACGTCAATCTGAATAGTGGCGGCGGAAACGACTACCCTCGACACCGTGGCTCGAGCACAGCACACAGGAGTGACATAGAGATTTTCAGAGCGATTACAACAGAGGTACTTGCTGCAACTGAACCCGCTCTAGTCGCACTTTCGTCTCAAAACAGGGACAATTCCTCTCCAGAAGAAACTGCGATCTCTGAATCAGAGGAGAGTTGTTCAGCCAAACTGTTGCCTCTAATGTCCTTGTTGAGCAATACAAAGTTGGATTTTGGTGAATTAATCATTAGTTTTGATTGTAAAGTGTGAGTTATTTCGAGTAATTTGAAGTAAAAAAATGCGCCAAATTTCGCTTGTTGGAGGTAGTAAGCTAATCCAGCACCCACGTTGAAGCTTGGTCCATTTACCGACAGGTACATTGAGAAGAACACAGGCGCAGAAATGTTCAAAAATTCACCATTTCTCACCTTTCCGACTATTCACACCTGCAACTTGGACAGTGACCATCGTGAATTCCTACAACAGGCACGCAAAAGGCAGTGCACAACAGAAATGACACATTGTCATAAATGACCTGACCAGGGCTGCTGAACCCTAAAAATTACCTATCTCCCAGTTTGGGTTTTGTGCCCGTGCATCCGCACTTGGAACTCAAACCTGTTATAGCACATTCAAATTTCCTGGAGCACTGCCTACGAGTGCAATCGGCCTACTACTGTGTTGGAACTGGACATCCAGTCGATTGACCGGGGCCGGCGAACTCAGAGCGTTCAGAACGTTGCATGCAGTACACATGCTGATCCGATGCGACCAGCGGGCTGCAGCCATAAATGCCCCGCGTACCACGGCTGCATGGCCAGCGCTCTGGGGCCGCTAGACGTGCCACCAGATTTCCATGTCCACGACAATAGCAAACCAAACATTTAAGCAATTCCAGCACTCACATTGCAGCTGGGCCAATTTACCCACAGGCACATTGAAAAGAACGAGTGCGCACGAATGGTCAACAATTCACCACTTCTCACCCTTCCAACTATTCACAGCTGCAACATGGACAGTGACCACCGTGATTTCTTGTAATAAAAAAATGGAATTTTGACAAAATCTGGGTCCTGGCATCGGGGATCACCGGCGCAAACGGTTCATATCGCTTTTTTGGTCAAAATTGTATGGGACCGGTGTTGGGGCACATTGCAAGAGTCGGGCACTGGGCGCTGACTGGCTTTGCTGGCCATTGCTCGCGATGATGTGCCGTATGATTTGGCACGCATTGGACTGGCTCACATAATCGCGATGCTCCCACCACCGGTGCCTCCCGGCGCGTGCCGTCGATATGTGAACCAAGTGTAAGGGTGCCGGACCCGGTCTTCCCATCGGATTTCAGTGTCCACTGCAGTAGCAAACTTCGATCTGTATCTTACTGAGTGACACAATTTTGTCCTTTAGTAGGATGCAACTATTAAAAAGAATTAAAAAATGATTTACTTGGATACTGAGCCAGTCATAAAAATGTAAAAGAAATAAGAGAACACATGAGAACGAGTTATGCAGCAACTACCCACAACTGTAACAAGATGATAAACAGTCAAAAAAGTCTCTGGTCGCTGAATGTCTTAGTAGTTTGTCAGTTTCTTGCCCTATTACAGTCAAATCTGTTGGAAGCGACCGCCCCTTGGTGCAAGAAAAAGCGGTCTCTTACGGCAGATGGTCTCTTACGGCAGATGTATGGTAAATCCGGCATACCGGGCATGCATATATGCTTCCATGTACTCAAATCGACGAGAATAATGTGATTTCTAATATCATTTTATTGGATATTTATTGGTGCACAAACCCAAGAATAGTGCCCATACCAGGGCTAATCTTTTACATATTCAGCCAGCTGTCAAGGCTTCCCTGTTCAAGTTCGGACTAGCGAAGCATCTCCTCCTTGTAAATAATGTCAGTCGCCTGTGTGACCAGATCCAGTATGCTGTCAAGGCCTCTCTGCAAGGCATACTTCTTGAGTCCATCAATGTGCTGAACTGCCTGCTTACCAGAGATGGCGTTAGCGACCACTCCATCCTCTGTGTCGCTTTCGTCATCAACATCATCGTCATCATTTTGCTGCGCTTCACCTCTTGCAGCAGCCAAGATCTCTTCCTCCCAATTGGGACTGAGGGTCTCTCCTGTACTGACGTCATCATCAAATGCTACAAATTCTTCGAATGACAAGTTGCTTAGGACTGTGTCAGCACCAGGACAGTCGGAATCTTCAACTTCACACACCTCATTGGGAGCAACATCCTTGAACCCACAACTTGCAAAACACTTGCTGATTGTTGTCTGCGCTACATCCTTCCATCCTGAAACAGTGCACAGTATGGCGTCCAACACTGTCAGTTTCTTTGCCACTTTTGACGCAGACTCTGTTCCCTCCATGTGACCAAGCAGGTGCTGTAACATCCTCTTCCTGTACTTGAGCTTCAATGCGACGAGCCAACCGTTCGACGCAGCAAAATCATTGTGGCCCATCACTTTCGCCAGTTGCAGGGCTTTCTCTTGAAGGAGAGGACCAGTCAGTGGCAAACAACGCGCCCCGGCTTTGGTAAACCAATCCCACGTTGCAGAGTTTACATCGCCGTACTTCGCCTTTCCTGACAATCGACGAAGTTGGCTGGATGTCCCTGCCTTTAAGACGTCCATGATCTTCTCCTTGTCCTTGATTATTGGCTGGATCTGAGCTTTCCCGACACCTATGCGGTTCGCGATCGACAGCGCAGATTCACCTTTCTCGGATTTCCGGATCACATCCACTCTCTCGCTGAGGGAGAGACAGCGACGCTTCTTGCTGGAGGATGTAGCCATGGTCCATCTCATGCGAAAGCCGACTACACTCCAACGAGGCTGCTGTGAACGTCGCTGTTCTGTTTTGTAGCTGCCGTGAACGTCGCTGTTCTGTTTTGCAGCTGCCGTGAACGTCGCTGTTCTGTTTTGTAGCTGCTGTGAACGTCGCTGTTCTGTTTTGTAGCTGCCGTGAATGTCGCTGTTCTGTTTTGTAGCTGCCGTGAACGTCGCTGTTCTGTTTTGCAGCTGCCGTGAACGTCGCTGTTCTGTTTTGTAGCTGCTGTGAACGTCGCTGTTCTGTTTTGTAGCTGCCGTGAACGTCGCTGTTCTGTTTTGCAGCCTACAGGAAGTGTGTTTCACTGTAACTGCGTGCGTACATATACATGTGTACAGAGTCTACGGTGAGTGTGACGTGCATACATATACATGTGTACAGAGTCTACGGTGAGTGTGACGTGCGTACATATACATGTGTACAGAGTCTACGGTGAGTGTGACGTGCATACATATACATGTGTACAGAGTCTACGGTGAGTGTGACGTGCATACATATACATGTGTACAGAGTCTACGGTGAGTGTGACGTGCATACATATACATGTGTACAGAGTCTACGGTGAGTGTGACGTGCATACATATACATGTGTACAGAGTCTACGGTGAGTGTGACGTGCATACATATACATGTGTACGGAGTCTACGGTGAGTGTGACGTGCATACATATACATGTGTACCGAGTCTACGGTGAGTGTGACGTGCATACATATACATGTGTACAGAGTCTACGGTGAGTGTGACGTGCATACATATACATGTGTACCGAGTCTACGGTGAGTGTGACGTGCATACATATACATGTGTACAGAGTCTACGGTGAGTGTGACGTGCATACATATACATGTGTACCGAGTCTACGGTGAGTGTGACGTGCATACATATACATGTGTACAGAGTCTACGGTGAGTGTGACGTGCATACATATACATGTGTACGGAGTCTACGGTGAGTGTGACGTGCATACCTACAACGACCATGCCCGTATACGCGTATGCGACGCGGCAGTAGATCGACACTGCCTGGACTTGAGAGCTACAGCGCAGCCTCAGTACAGGCCAGGGCCAGTCGATCGCACTTGCAAGACAGCGCATTTTGACACCTTGTAGTTGACAGCGCACTGGCAAGAACAGTTTCGCACCTGACTGAACCTGGGTCGCGGTCGCTTACAGCAGATTTGAATGCAGCCACCGTGCATGAAATTGCGGTCGCTGGTCGCGCACATGGTCGCTCTGGACAGATAAGTTTGTATGTGAAACTGTCGGTGCACGGAAAATCGGTCGCTAACGGTAGATGGTCGCCTACAGCAGAGGTCGCTAACGGCAGTTTTGACTGTACCGCACTTTCTGACTGTTTATCATCTTGTTACAGTCAAGGATAGTTGCTGCATAACTCGTTCTCATGTGTTTCCTTTTTTTTTACGTAAAAATATCATTGCTATTAGCAGCATGCTTGTTGCCGTACTTGTACGGCCATTTTTCCACCTCACCTTTATCCCAAGTCCACGTTGATAAATCAGTAGGCGGGCGAGAAACCTCTCCCCTTCAACAGATGTGGCATTTGGAGGAAGAAATTGTGAACTTCTGCATCCCTTCATAAGCAAGTAAATTGCGGACTTTGCGCGCCGCGCACCACTGGTTCTGACGGTACTCTACAAAATTTGTAGAGTAGTTCTCACTCAGAGGAAAACAGTAAGACTGTGTAGATTCTACTAGCGTCGCTTAGGAAACGCGCGCTATGCGCTCAGGATGCAACGCTAGTCTGGCTGAGGACCGGCAATACTAGGGCAATGCTCGCCACCATCACGCAACATGACCTATCAAACTCTGCGCGAGATGTTCTGCAAGTCGGTACCGCCGATCCTCTACAACGATTACCATGATTACGTGCTGGTAGATCTACATGTACAAACATTTCCTTGCTGCTCGAGTACCGGTCCTCAGTAGGTCTACACCATGCCATGGTACTGCCACTGCGCGGCACTGGTCTAGTGTGAACCAGGCATGGTCACTGTCAGGGTGTCCTGTGTACAGGCATGTGGTGTGTTGCTTGTTGTCAATAGATAGGTAGATAGGTAGATCGAGTAGACGGGTAGACGGGTATACTCTACACGACAATCATTGACTTTGTAGACCTAGGGCCAGGCTAGGGCCGCTAGGCTACAGTAATGAACACCGATCTACATCATAGGTACCGGTATCTAATATTGACTGAGTACGAGGTCAATATAGGAAATAAAAGCCGAGTAAAAGACCAAGGCGAAGCCGAGGTCTTTTACGAGGTTTTTATTTCCTATACTGACCAAGTACGAAGTCAATATTAGATTTATCACGACAAACAGTCCGTATTTCAAATTCCAGAACGATAACCTCATGAATCCCGGTTTTATGATTGCACAACCGTTGCACCACGGCCTACTCATGCAGTGAAACTGCTGCACTAGGCACCGTTCAACTGCGCAACCCCTAAGGAGTCAAATATAAGCGGTCAATATAGCCCTAAGGAGTGAAATATGCAGGAATATTTGACTGCTTACAAAAAAATCTATGTGAGTCAATACTAAGGGAGTGATAAATAATTATAATATTATGTATTTTACTACTCCCTGGTCTGTACTGTGGCACTGCACTCACTCACGCCGGCATGAACTCTGGTCTCGTAGATCTACACAACGGTACAGGCACTGCCCAATCGCAGGTTGAAACCAGGGAGTTTGTATGACTCCCTGGTCGAAACTATGTGACTGCGCTGTTACTGAGTGCGTTGCCTGCGAGTAGGGTTGTCTCCTCCTCGTCCTGCGAGCACAACCACACTGTGGTTGTCGAGATTTCACTTGCCTGTGTCCAGTGGAATCTGTCTAACACAACACACTCAATGTTGTCTTTCCACACGGAAGACCATGCAAGAAAGAAATATGGTGTCCCAAACGATTCCATACGTCCTTCCACCTGTTCCACAGCACCGCTCTATGTCAGTATGTACATGTGTATGCGCCGGCATCTGGCGAAACGCGAAGAGAACAAACTGATGTATAGGCCAAGTCACATACCGGGTAGTGAAGCCCGGAGCCCGGGCGGCCCTCAGTTTCATCCAGTTCCAACCAGGGAGTCGTAAAAGCCCGGGAGAGGACACGGGATGCGCGCACGCGGACGATGTTTGCCTCGGCCAGAAAGTGAAGCACGCTAGGCCGGCGCGGCCGGATCTGCTCGATCCACGGCGCTGTGCTCGTCTTCAGGGCAGGGAGTCCTAAAATACCAATATTTTACAACTCGTTGTTGACACCGAAACTGGTGGCGAAGGAAGGATAAACATGATTGTATGTCTGTCAGACTCAGTACACATGGTACAGGGGTGGGGAGTTGAGTGTGTGTGTGGGGGGGGGGGGAGGCGTGTGTATGTGCACATGTGCTTGTACTTTTGTGTGTGTTTGTACAGTGTTTGTGTGTGTGCTTGTGTGTGTGCGCGCGCACGTGCGTGTGCATTTTTGTGCACAATTCCGTTATGAAGTACAAATGATAGGTTTACCTTTTGTACACTCGCCAAGACTTCCGTTTCCTAAACGCTCAAGTCACCGCGTACTCAGTATACGAGTAGAAAAGTGTTGAAATTATCAAGATTTATAAATAACGACCTGCAACCATGTACAATGTAGATAGATAGGGAACACGCATTGATTGTTTTTAAAAGAATCCAGGCATTATCATGAATCATGGAACGAGTGCGTAATAATGCTCTATGTTGCGTTTTGACGATGCTGAAGGAAGGGAGCCGTTGCGATTCACTCACAATACACGCACAGAAATCCACTCGACTGCAATTTCAGTGCAATTTCTGACACAAATTCATAAATCCACGAGTACGCCGAGGAAGCTCAGCGGATCTCCACAAGAACTTTCGCCCATCACCTGCAATGGAATATGGGCTGTATGATACGACCAGCGGCTAACACGGGAAGTGGCGTCATTTTCCACAAATCTCGTTTCATTCACAACCATTTGACTGCAATGCAGTGCAATTTCTGCCACAAATTCAACTCCACGAGTACGAGGAAGCTCAGCGGATCTCAACACGAACGTTCGCCCATCACCTGCAATGGAATATGGGCTGTATGATACGACCAGCGGCTAACACGGGAAGTGGCGTCATTTTCCACAAATCTCATTTCGTTCACCCCAACTCAAATAAAAGTGAAGTACAATTAGGGATTTATCTTGCATTTCCATCGCCTCAGAATAAATTAACTTCGATAAACTGAGAGAGAATGAGTGAGGCAGCTGGAAGAATTGAGGATGAAAATAGAGATCAGAAGACTCGACGGAGCAATCGTCTCCGTGCTCTAAGAGAAATCGGAGAATGTCCCAATTAGTATTTCAAGAAGACATCACAATTTTCGAAAATAATAATTTCCTTGCCTCGCAACACCGTTCCCTGGCAGCGTTCCCCGGCAGCGCGAGGCAAAGATGTTTTCTGGGAATGTGTGCCGTGTCCTCTCCCGGGCTTTTACGACTCCCTGGTTCCAACCAGTTTCGCCCAGTTCCAACCAGTTTCACCCAGTTCCAACTGGTCTCGGCAGGTTTGCACCGGTTTCAACGGATTATCGCGCCAATTAGGGCTAAGTACGCATGCGCCGTATACCAAGTACCACAGCATCTTCTTGACTTGATTCAGAGAAGTAGTTTGTACACTTGTTTGATCATCGCCTAGAGAGCCTCTTTCGATGTGACTAATGCCGCTAGACCAGACACAAGAACTGCATCAACTTACCATTTCAACGCTAGGCTTGCTAGAGAAATAATCCCCGGAGAAGCGAGGTCGTTGACGTCTGAACTGATATCAGGAAAAAAAAGGCAGCAATGGATAGCGGGTGATCGTGGATGCGAAAAAAAAGATACCAGTAAGTCGTTTCGGCTCGATGGATCAATTGTAAATATCTTCGTCCTTGTAAATTGTAACGTGCAGGCAAGCCTAGAACCTGCAAACCTGGTGTTTCGGGACGTGTGCTACTTTGCTGTAAACGGACAGACAGTCTTGCATTCAATCTCCCTCCTTCATAGGAAAGTGTGGGGCTCTGATATGCTTGACAATGTAGGGCAGCCTTGTGATCACATACCCGGTGATTCGGGCCGTGTATTACTTGGCATTGAGCTATGAGTCAACTTGCATTCAATCTCACTCCTTCAAGGGAAGTGTGGGGCTCTGATATGCTTGACAATGTGGGTCAGCGTTGGGATTACACATACTCCTTCAAGGGAAGTGTGGGGCTCTGATAAGCTTGACAATGAGAGGCAGCCTTGTGATCAGATACCCGGTGATTCGGGCCATGTCTTGCTTGGCAGTGAGCTATGAGTTTTGCATTCAACCTCACTCCTTCAAGGGAAGTGTGGGGCTCTGGTATGCTTGACAATGTGGAGCAGCCTTGTGATTACACATACCCGGTGATTCGGGCCGTGTATTACTTGGCATTGAGCTATGAGTCAGTCTTGCATTCAATCTCACTCCTTCAAGGGAAGTGTGGGGCTCTGACATGCTTGACAATGTGGGTCAGCATTGGGATTACACATACTCCTTCAAGGGAAGTGTGGGGCTCTGATAAGCTTGACAATGAGAGGCAGCCTTGTGATCAGATACCCGGTGATTCGAGCTATGAGTTTTGCATTCAACCTCACTCCTTCAAGGGAAGTGTGGGGCTCTGATATGTTTGGCAATGTGGGTCAGCGTTGCGATAACACATACTCCTTCAAGGGAAGTGTGGGGCTCTGATAAGCTTGACAATGAGAGGCAACCTTGTGTTCAGATACCCGGTGATTCGGGCCATGTATTGCTTGGCAGTGAGCTATGAGTTTTGCATTCAACCTCACTCCTTCAAGGGAAGTGTGGGGCTCTGGTACGCTTGACAATGTGGAGCAGCCTTGTGATTACACATACCCGGTGATTCGGGCCGTGTACTACTTGGCATTGAGCTATGAGTCAGTCTTGCATTCAACCTCACTCCTTCAAGGGAAGTGTGGGGCTCTGATATGCTTGACAATGTGGGTCAGCGTTGGGATTACACATACTCCTTCAAGGGAAGTGTGGGGCTCTGATAAGCTTGACAATGAGAGGCAGCCTTGTGATTAGATACCCGGTGATTCGAGCTATGAGTTTTGCATTCAACCTCACTCCTTCAAGGGAAGTGTGGGGCTCTGATATGCTTGGCAATGTGGGTCAGCGTTGCGATTACACATACTCCTTGAAGGGAAATGTGGGGCTCTGATAAGCTTGACAATGAGAGGAAGCCGGGTGATCAGATAGCCGGTGATTCTGGCTATGTATTGCTTGGCAGTGAGCTATGAGTTTTGCATTTAACCTCACTCCTTCAAGGGAAGTGTGGGGCTCTGGTATGCTTGACAATGTGGAGCAGCCTTGTGATTAAACATACCCGGTGATTCGGGCCGTGTATTACTTGGCATTTAGCTATGAGTCAGTCTTGCATTCAACCTCACTCCTTCCAGGGAAGTGTTGGGCTCTGATATGCTTGACAATGTGGGTCAGCGTTGGGATTACACATACTCCTTCAAGGGAAGTGTGGGGCTCTGATAAGTTTGACAATGAGAGGCAGCCTTGTGTTCAGATACCCGGTGATTCGGGCCATGTATTGCTTGGCAGTGAGCTATGAGTTTTGCATTCAACCTCACTCCTCCAAGGGAAGTGTGGGGCTCTGATATGCTTGGCAATGTGGGTTAGCGTTGCGATTACACATACTCCTTCAAGGGAAGTGTGGGGCTCTGATAAGCTTGACAATGAGAGGCAGCCTTGTGTTCAGATACCCGGTGCTTCGGGCCATGTATTGCTTGGCAGTGAGCTATGAGTTTTGCATTCAACCTCACTCCTGCAAGGGAAGTGTGGGGCTCTGGTATGCTTGACAATGTGGAGCAGCCTTGTGATTACACATACCCGGTGATTCGGGCCGTGTATTACTTGGCATTGAGCTTTGAGTCAGTCTTGCATTCAACCTCACTCCTTCAAGGGAAGTGTGGGGCTCTGATAAGCTTGACAATGTGGTTCAGCCTTGTGATTACACATACCCGGTGATTCGGGCCGTGTATTACTTGGCATTGAGCTATGAGTCAGTCTTGCATTTAACCTCACTCCTTCAAGGGAAGTGTGGGGCTCTGATATAGTTGGCAATGTGGGTCAGCGTTTCGATTACACATACTCCTTTGGGGGAAGTGTGGGGCTCTGATAGGCTTGACAATGAGAGGCAGCCTTGTGTTCAGATACCCGGTGATTCGGGCCATGTATTGCTTGGCAGTGAGCTATGAGTTTTGCATTCAACCTCACTCCTTCAAGGGAAGTGTGGGGCTCTGGTATTCTTGACAATGTGGAGCAGCCTTGTGATTACACATACCCGGTGATTCGGGCTATGCATTGCTTGGCAGTGAGCTATGAGTTTTGCATTCAACCTCACTCCTTCAAGGGAAGTGTGGGGATCTGATATGCTTGACAATGTGGGTCAGCGTTGGGATTACACATACTCCTTCAAGGGAAGTGTGGGGCTCTGATAAGCTTGACAATGAGAGGCAGCCTTGTGATCAGATATCCTGTGATTCGAGCTATGAGTTTTGCATTCAACCTCACTCCTTCAAGGGAAGTGTGGGGCTCTGATATACTTGGCAATGTGGGTCAGCGTTGCGATTACACATACTCCTTCAAGGGAAGTGTGGGGCTCTGATAGGCTTGACAATGAGAGGCAGCCTTGTGTTCAGATACCCGGTGATTCGGGCCATGTATTGCTTGGCAGTGAGCTATGAGTTTTGCATTCAACCTCACTCCTTCAAGGGAAGTGTGGGGCTCTGGTATTCTTGACAATGTGGAGCAGCCTTGTGATTACACATACCCGGTGATTCGGGCTATGCATTGCTTGGCAGTGAGCTATGAGTTTTGCATTCAACCTCACTCCTTCAAGGGAAGTGTGGGGATCTGATATGCTTGACAATGTGGGTCAGCGTTGGGATTACACATACTCCTTCAAGGGAAGTGTGGGGCTCTGATAAGCTTGACAATGAGAGGCAGCCTTGTGATCAGATATCCTGTGATTCGAGCTATGAGTTTTGCATTCAACCTCACTCCTTCAAGGGAAGTGTGGGGCTCTGATATGCTTGGCAATGTGGGTCAGCGTTGCGATTACACAAACTCGTTCAAGGGAAATGTGGGGCTCTGATAAGCTTGACAATGAGAGGCAGCCGTGTGATCAGATACCCGGTGATTCGAGCTATGAGTTTTGCATTCAACCTCACTCCTTCAAGGGAAGTGTGGGGCTCTGATAAACTTGGCAATGTGGGTCAGCGTTGCGATTACACATACTCCTTCAAGGGAAGTGTGGGGCTCTGATAGGCTTGACAATGAGAGGCAGCCTTGTGTTCAGATACCCGGTGATTCGGGCCATGTATTGCTTGGCAGTGAGCTATGAGTTTTGCATTCAACCTCACTCCTTCAAGGGAAGTATGGGGCTCTGGTATGCTTGACAATGTGGAGCAGCCTTGTGATTACACATAACCGGTGATTTGGGCCGTGTATGACTTGGCATTGAGCTATGAGTCAGTCTTTCATTCAACCTCACTCCTTCAAGGGAAGTGTGGGGCCCTGATATGCTTGACAATGTGGGTCAGCGTTGGGATTACACATACTCCTTCAAGGGAAGTGTGGGGCTCTGATAAGCTTGACAATGAGAGGCAGCCTTGTGATCAGATACCCGGTAATTCGGGCTATGTATTGCTTGGCAGTGAGCTATGAGTTTTGCATTAACCCTTTACCTTCTGTGTGTACATGAATCGACCGAATTTGGTCGATGGACATGCATGCACTAAAACATTCGTAACTCGATCAATTCTTAACGTAATCTCAAAAACTAAATATGTAGGAAGAAGCCGAAGTGCCCAGCTGTTCATTGCAACAATCGGCGAAGAGCTGCGATGCCGCATTCCAAAGATATCGCGCTCGACATTCCAGTCACGGCAAAAGTCGATTTTTTTCTGAGTGACTGGCCTTGAGCTGGGGATTTTCCCTCTCCTGACATGCTGAGTTACCTGTGCATGTTTTGAGCGCGTGGGCAGCATAAAAAGAAACCCAGGACAACAAATTTGAAATGTTTACGATGAAGGAGTGAGAAATGGCTGACGAGGAGAGAATTTTCTCGGATACCCAGCGATGGGGAGTATTTGAAGCACCCTGACGTTGGATATGTGATCTCAGTAGTGTCCAGTTTGAGCTCATTGTACGCAGCTCGTGGAGAGCTTTCCAGAATGCCCAAGAGTGTGAAAATCGGTTGATTATAACCAAAGATATTCTCAGAATGAGGTGAGAAATATCGTATTTGGAACTGCCTGGGAATTATGGTCAGAAGGTAAAGGGTTAAACCTCACTCATTCAAGGGAAGTGAGGGGCTCTGGTATGCTTGACAATGTGGAGCAGCCTTGTGATTACACATACCCGGTGATTCCTGCCGTGTATTGCTTGGCATTGAGCTATGAGTCAGTCTTGCATTCAACCTCACTCCTTCAAGGGAAGTGTGGGGCTCTGATAAAGCTTGACAATATGGTTCAGCCTTGTAATTACACATACCCGGTGATTCGGGCCGTGTATTACTTGGCACTGAGCTATGAGTCAGTCTTGCATTCAACCTCACTCCTTCAAGGGAAGTGTGGGGCTCTGATATGCTTGACAATGTGGTTCAGCCTTGTGATTACACATACCCGGTGATTCGGGCCGTGTATTACTTGGCATTGAGCTATGAGTCAGTCTTGCATTCAACCTCACTCCTTCGGGGGAAGTGTGGGGCTCTGATAAGCTTGACAATGTGGAGCAGCCTTGAGATTACACATAACCGGTGATTCGGGCCGTGTACTACTTGGCATT